CATTTTTTACCAATCTTTTACTAATTTTAAATTTTTCAAATAAATTGGAAGCTGAACTTAAAGCTACAGTACCCAAAATGACCACAAATATTGAACAAATCCTTTAAAAATCGTATTTTGATTTGGAGGCCTTAAATTAATCGTAAAAAGCTAAAAAAAACTTAGAGAGACATGTCATGCCCCAATAACATTAAAAAAATTGCAAAAACAAGCCAAAAAATAAAAATGATACCTTTGGATGACTTTCTGAGTTTCTACAGTAACCCCTACAATAGCACATACGGTAAACTACAAAAAAACTACAAAATAAGTTTCCAAAAATCATCCGTCCCGCCGCGATACACTTTGCACCCATGGCCGATTCAGCTAGTGCGCACTTTGTAGCCTGTAGCCTGGGATGTGGATAGGCGCGTAACGGACTGTTCCAGCTTCCCTGGGGGTCAAAATGCAATAACAGTTTTTGATGAGCGGAAATGGAGCCAGCGGAGCGTCTCGTACTTTGCCCCCGGGGTTCCGCATGAGTCAGAAGTCATAAAAGGGTACTGTAGATTACAATTTTCAGTCGTTTTCAGAGTTTTTTTGTATGGAAGCCAGCAGAAAATCTACGCACAATTTAGAGCTCGTTAAACTTAAGCCAAGCCACGCTTAAGCCCAAGCCGAAGCAGGCCTATGCGTAAGTGTAAGTGTAAGCCTATGCCGAAGCCTAAGCGTAAGCTTAAGCCTAAGCCTAAGTCCAAGCCTAACCTGAGCCTAATTTCTGGTTTCCAAGTTGATACTTTGATACTCGGTTCTGTTTTCAGTCCAGTCGAACCCGATTTTCAAGGGCGATAGCCTGTTTCTTGGACGTGATTTTTGCCCGGGGCTTTCCACGAAATCTAGTCCGCTTCAGAGCCAGCCAGCCCCCGATTGTTAGTTGTTTTTCTGGGTCGAGACTCGCCAGCCTCGACACGTAAAATAATAACAAGCGCGTCGACAAAAGCCTGGCATGGGCTGGAGACGGTCAAAAATTACTTGAGGGACGAGGAGGAAACGAATATCAAATATATCTTTCTCTCTCTCTCTCTCTCTCTCTCTCTCTCTCTTCCTGTCACTTTGTGCTCTGATTCCATGCTTTGTGCTTGGCCCTGGGCCACCTGGCCGCACAAAAAAGAATTCTTTGGTTTGGTGCGGATTAAGGAAAAAAAGTGCTGAAGAATCAGGACTGGTGATGAATTTTTGATTTTTCTACATTGGTCTTTCAGGTTAGGCGGCTAATCTGATGCTGATCACCGCAGAGGAAGCCCAGATTCCAAGAAATTCCCAAAGTTCCGAAAACAATTTTGCAGAAGGCCAAAGTGTTTATTTTTGCCCTAGTCGCAAACCGGAACCAAACCCACGTTTTTCGCGTTTCCCCTATCCGGCACAAAAACTCGACTTTTCAAACCTATCCGGGCAGAAAGGTCAAAATCCGGAAATCCGGCGATCTTGGAAAAGTCCTGATCCGGATTATTTCGAGTCTAGCACACTGAAAAAGTGCCGTCATTGCGGAAGGAGACGGATTGGCGGGTTTTTGGGAAAGTTAGGGTAATTTTTGTGGGAAAGGGGGTTTGCAGCCTAAGGCTGAGCCTAAGCCCAGATTAAGCTAAGCCTCAGCTAGGCCTAAGCTAAGCCTAAGCTTATCCGAAACATTTGTTCATTTCCTGCCCCCTCTACCGTAGACCTCGGCAAAGTTCACCAGTCCCCCCGACGCCATTAGACATTCAGCGTCGCCGCTTTCAATTATTTACTGTTGTTCGGCCGAACCTGAAAACCCCCGATAGTTTTTTGCTTGAATTGCAACCAATTAGGCGACGAAATGCACCTGTTTTGATTACGACACGGTGCGCTACGTAACTGAGGAAATGTACAGAGGGCAACAAGACCGGAAGAAGGGCTGCGGTTGGGTTGGTTCAAGTTTTTAGGGGTCGAGAACCAAAGTAGAAAATTATTCATGCAGAAGCCCAAGCCCGCCTAAGCCTAGAACTGCACCCCAGCTAAGCCTAAGCCAAGACTAGACGAAATTTGGCTTCTTCTTTCTCAATATTTTCAAGAAACTCAAGCTAAGCACATCTTCAGTGAAAGCCAAGCCGAAGCTAAGCGTAGGCTACGCTTTAGCCAATCCAGAAGCTTGAGAAAGCTATCTAAGTCGATCTAAGCGTAAGCTTCATTTTAAAAAACTAGCTAAACGGCTCTCTCACTCTCTCGCTCACTCTCGCGCTCGTTCTTACTCATCCCTCTTTCTCTCTCTCCCTCTTTCTGTCTAGCTCTCTCCCTTATCGTATGCTCCAATGACCAATAAAGCCTCACCCAATGCAATAACCTTCCAAAGAACAGTTCACATACGAAACCGGCTGCTAACTATAAGCTCCCCCGCCACCTGACCCTGATTTTGATAACTGGTGATTCCAAAAACGGCCCCCTATCTCTGCAGGAAATGATGCCAACTCTTCGAAGCCCTCACGAATTGTTTTGTGATGAAATTCTGAGGGCTGATATTCCAGAGATCGAGAAAATTGAGGGAAAAGCTGAAAATTTATTTAGATGACTTTTTGGCGACCTGAATTTCATCGCGTAATTAATTAAAAAAGTAAAGTGTATGCGCTTGTTTGTCGGCTGACAAAAATTGAGCCTCAGAATTACAAAATAACAAGTGAATTCAATGAACTTGGGATGTCATCTGGACCATGACGGAACATGATCAAGAAACGGATGGAGTTCAGGAGAGAGAGCGAGAGAGCGAGAGAAAGAGAGACACGTAGAGCGAGAGAGGGAGAGGGAGAGGGGAGGGAGAGCGAGAGAGAAAGTGAGAGAGAGAGAGTGAGAGAGAGAGAGAGAGCGGGAGAGAGTGAAAGCGACCGCGGGTGTAAAAAGTGTAGAATTTTGCCGTAAATCACCTAAAGTAGGTTTTACGATCGGCTTACGGTAGCCAGAGCTTTGCCTCTCTAACACCTTTGAACCCGATTAAAATCGTGCAAACAAATGTTTCTTTTTCTCAAGCCAAGCTTAAGCTTAAGGCACCTTAATTTTCAGAACCTTGACTTCTCAAACCCTTTAATCCAAAAATCGTACTATTTATCACGATTTAGTCTATGGCCGATCATCACTTCTACGCGCTGTTTGCCAGACTTTTAAAAACACGACATTTCAAACTTTCTCAGCGTCACCGTCACGAGTATCGGAATGGAGTGCCATTCTGAAGCGTGGGTTCTCGATTCGGCATCTGTATTGGCCGGGGATTATCCCCTCAGTCTCCCTATGCGTGTTTCTCATTCTCAGCGCCTATTTCTGAACGGCTAGAATTAGCTAGACGATGCGTAGATGATCTTCGGGAGGCGAGTGTTTTGTCTGGCCGGGAATAGGGTGGAACTAAAAATGTTGAAAATGGGTAAGGGACTTTGGGAAATTCCGGAAAAAGTAGAAATAAATCTACAGGTATGTGCGAGAGAGAAACCAAGAGAGAGAGAGAGCGAGAGTGAGAGAGAGAGAGAGCGAGAGGCGGGGGGAGGTGTGATATAGGCATAGAGCGGGAGAAAGCGAGAATGAGAGCGGCAGCCGAAAAGAAATATGGAAAACTTACCGGAAAAACTGTAATAAACAGTCGAAAATCTATTTTAACTCCTCTCTCTTTCTCGCTCAATATCTCTCCCTCTTTCTCTCGCCTTCTTTCTCTATTGCCCTCTCTCGTGCTCAAACATCACCCTCACGGACCATCTATCCTCCGAAGCAAAGCTACAAAAATCAGCATTCCTAAAGCTCAATTCCCGTCCGTAGGAGCGACTAGTAATTCTCATCCTCCTGTGAGTTCTGCCATTTCTGATCGTCTCAAACGGTTTTGTTTGTCGACGGCAGTTGTTTTTGTTGATTACCGCATCAAAATCTATTCTACTAGGCTGTTCTTTTTTGATGATTTACCGTAAATTGGAATGGAATGGAGCACGTTCCAATGGAATAAGTTCGAAACGTATGTTGTTTATGAGAAGATTTTAAAGGGACTCGAAAGTTGATCATTGCTCTTTCTTGCTCACCCTCTCGCTTTCTCTCTCTCTCTCTCTCTCTCTCTCTCTCTCTCTCTCTCTCAGATTGGCCCTCGCATTCGTGGTACGATCTCCGTCTTGCTGCGTATTTGTACAGTGACCAATCGGAAATGACAGCAGCTATAGGAGTAGTGAGTCGTCAGGACTGTATTCTCTTTCCCCTCTCTCCCTCTCTCTCTCTCTCTCGCTCCCTCTTTGTCCGTTCCGAGACTGTCCACCACCATCGCGCGCCCTTTCGCAACGCTCAAACAGCCCATTTTAATGCCCCTTTGCACACGTAGCCCTGCAGATGACTCAAAAGCCTGCTGTCAGGAAGGTTTTGGAACCTGGGAAAGGGGTTTAGAAAAAATTAACCTTTTGGTATAGTAAAACACCAAAACCCGTCAAAAATAATGCTCATCAAGCTCATGCTCAACTCTAAGTTTGACCCTAGGCCTAAACCGAAGCCTAAAACTAAGCCAACACCTAAGTCGAAGCCTAAATCTAAGCTTAAGCCTAATCCTAATCCATGGCCTGATCCTAAGCCTAAGCATAGGCCCAAACCTAAGCCTAAAGTGAAACCCAAACCCAAGCCAAACAAAACCTAAGCTTACCCTTAAGCCAGGCCCAAGCGATCTTTCATTCTCTTCACATTTCTGATCATGATCCAGCTGTTGTGACCGATGCCCTGTCTCAGATTTCATCATGTTCCTGCTGGCTGCCCGTGTCCGAGTCCGAAATACACCTCTTTCCACCGGCTCGAAAAAGCCGCAGCGAGCGAGCAAGGAGCATCGGCGAGTCACCCCATTTGCCCTATAGCCTTGGAAAAATTCCTGCAAAATTTGGAAGCTGAGGGGCCGGAAAATATACAATTTAAAATTAAGGATTATAATTAAGTTCTTGCGACAAAAAAATAGAATTCCTTGAAACCACTATTTATGCTCAAAAAAATGGTGCTTTAGTTTTTTAGTGCTCCGGCTTCCCATTACGCGAGAGGACGAGGGTACGTCGGGAAGAGTCGGATCCTGAAATTTGATGTAGAGAGCCTGAGGGAGAGAGCGTGAGAGAAATATCGTGGGTGAGAGAGACAATTGGAAGAAGGATTTACCGTAGTTGAAAAAAATAACCAAATTAAATTTATGAAATTACCCTACCCTTGCTTCGCTCGGTATCACCGCCCTCGTGCTCATGCTCGTGTTCATGTTCATCGCCAGAGCCGTGGGCGGAATGATGGGATTTTACCGAGTCTGAAAAGATGAAGTATGGAGAGTGGGTGATAGCGAGAGATAGCGTGAGCGAGAGAGATAGAGTGTGAGAGAGATAGCGGGAGAGAGAGACATCGAGGGAAAGAGAGTGAGGGAGGTAATTGTAAAGACACCGCCGCTTTAAAACAAAAAAAAAACATACGAGCAGCTAGCGATTGCCTCCGACTCCCTGGATGCGAAGGAGCACCGCCTGCGACCTCGTCGATCACCACCTCAGAATGGTGCTCTACTTCGTGAGCATGATCGTCGATCCTTAAGAATGTCGTTAGAAGCGTTGAAATTTTAGAGCTTACTTGTGGGCATGGTCATCATTCTCCTTATCGGACAAGATGTCGGAGACGGCGTGGTTCAAAGCAGCTCCGGTGGCTCCTGAAAATTTGAATCATTTTTTATCTCGCACTCTCTCTCTCTTTCTCTCTCTCTTTCTCTCTTCTCTCTCTCTCTCTCTCTCTTTCTCTCTATCACTCTCTTGAGAGAAGAGACTCTCTAGAGAGTCTCTTCTAATGCTTACCTATCGCCGCTCCACCAGCCGCTGCTGCTCCAACGACATGAGCATTTGCACCATCCGCCGTATCCTGGACCTTGTCGATGACCACGTCAAGATTTTCTTTGACTTTTTTCTTCGTTTTTCGGACTACTGGAATGAGCATTAAGAGACTTAGAGCCAGAGAGAGGCAGAGAGAGAGTGAGAGTGAGAGAGAGAAAGCTATCGTACCTTTCTTCCCTCCCTCATGCAAATCTCCGCCCGTCTTCTTCACGGAGTCCACCCCATTCTGCACCCGTTTCTTCACCTTTTTCTTCGTCGACTCCCCGTTGTCGCCGAAGGAGAAGGCTTTTTCGAGTTTTCTAGAAAATACAAATAATCCTTGTTTTAGATTCTCACTTTTCGCCATTTTTGACGAGTTTCTTGATACGCACCGTCAGGTCGGTAGAGGCGGGCGCGGTACCGGGAGGCTAAACTTTGGGGTTTTTTGAAAGAGAAACTTTGCTGTCGTTATCTCCCTCTCTCTCTCTCTCTCTCGCCGTCTCGTTTTCGCCTACCGCATGAGATTTCGCTCGCTTCCGCTTCTCGCCCGTCGACTTCGCGGCCCTGGGTTCAGAAGAACGAGACGGACGCGCGGTTTGGGCGGCAAGCTAGGTTACGGTATTTTCCGAGCAAAACAACTTACACTCGGACTCGTCACTGACGTGATAAAAGAGGAAGCCGATCGGGTCAAAGTTTGGCCATAGGCCATTGGGGTGAAGTGGTTAGCCGAGGCGACGTAGTCCTAGAAAAGATCAAAAAAAATCTTTTACTACGGCAAAAAGGCATAAACAATGATTTTTCGATTTATTGATTTTAATTGGGTATTTTTAAGCTATCTAAACCCAGAAATGGCTTTTTGAAAATGCTTTAGACCATTAAATGCGCAAATAAATCTTTTTATCTCATTTTTCGGGGTTTTCTAGGCTTACCGTATCATTTTGTAACGCATCGATCCGCTTCACTTCCTTTCCACCGACTGTAAACAATCTCCGGGCGCCGGCGATCATTTGGAGCTTCTGGTTGACGAGGTCGAGGAAGGCGGACATTTCACGGATTTGGCGTGGGTTGACTACCATCTAAAATGCATTTTTTTTGTTAGTCCATGGCAAGCCTAAGCCTAAGCCTAAACCTAAGCCTAAGCCAAATCCTAAGTCTCAGCCTGTGCCTAAGTCTATGCCTGAGCACGAGCTCAAGCCTACCTACCCTAACTCCCGGATGGTTAACGTCTCCATTCTTAAAAATGCGAACTCTTCTCGTATCTGCCAAAGCATAACTCGGCACCCCTGCACCACCGGTCCAATTTTTGGGCTTCTTCCGGATGGAGCGCTTCGAAGATGGCGTTTCCGTCATTGGCCTCAAAACAGTTTTAAAGGCTTTTAAGCCTAACAGGGAGGCTTTAAGCCTTAAGCAGAACCACAAGGTCAAGGTGGTTCATATGGGAACCTATTTGTGTAGAATTTGCTGCGATCACTTCAAGCTAAACCAATTAAAAAATGGATTTAGGTCTATTTGAGCCCGCGGGAAGTCATCGTCACGTGACTTTTCTATTTTAATAGGGCAGTCGATTTTTAATAGCCACCTTGTAGGAATTTTTGTTCGATGGTATATTCATTGTGGTTATATATGGTCACTTACGGGGCTGTAAATGGGCAAGTTTTTTCCCATACAAAAAGGGTCCATACCAAGTATCGTCGTTTCAATTTTCAAATTTTGAGTTAAATAGCTCATTCGATAGGATTTTGATACGATGGCGTATTCGTTTTGAGGAATCAGAGGGAGGCAAGATAATGACTTTGAAATTTGAAAATTTGGGAAAATGGCACTGACTATAACTTTTAAATTGGGTTATTTAGCAAAATTGAAGCTGTTCGAATCACAAAAAATGGCTGGGTCCCATAACGGCACCTTGACCTTAGGTGCGTTCAAATCAAACCCTCAAAAAAATCATAATTTAAACAAGCCCGCAAAATTCCAGGAAGCCGGGCCCCGAAAATCGTTTTCGGGTGCCCTTCTCCCCCCTAGCGTCCCTAGCGCCGCAACCTGGCAACCGCCAAGCGGTGGCAGAAAAAAACACAGCACAAAGCCCCCTAGGGCAATGCCCTTAGCCTCGGGAATAAATATTACATAAATATTTTGCGCCCTGGAAATGCACCAACAATAAGAGTAAAAAGGCGGAGCTAAAGCAGAAGCTTCTAAGCCTAAACCTAAGTCTAACAGGGCTAAACCAAGCCCAAGCCAAGCCTAAGTCTAGTCCGAAGCCTAAGCTTGAGCCTGAGCTTAAGCCTAAGTTAAGCCTAAGTTAAGCCTAAGCCTAAGCCTAAGCTAAGCCTAAGCCTACCCTAGGCCAAAACCAAAGCTTAGCCGTAATCTCTCCCTGCTACCTTTCCTATGACTCTTCTCTATCCCTCGCTCGCTCTCTGTCCCTAGCTCTCTCTATCTTTCTCTCGCTCGCGCTCTCTCTCCTTCTCTGCTACCAGGAACTCCCGCTGTGAGTACATAAATGAGCGGTTACCGGAGGATTTACGCGCGGATTTCACCCATGTCCCCCGGGGGATCTAAGGGAGCAACAGGGTATTGGGGTCAGTCTCCCTAAAAGATAGAGGGAGAAAGAGAGAGCAAGAGAGAGAGAGAGAGAGAGAGAGAGACGGCGAAATGAACACAGACACCTATTTTAGGGCAATCGGCCGTGTTGCAAGGATCTCCAGTCGGCTGGGGCTGTGAACCCGAAATTTTTCAGGCTCACGCTGCGGCTCTCATTTTTTCGAGAAAATTGTGCGAGGTCGTGGAAAGCAGCTGAGCTTTTGGTTTGGTTTTTGTTTTATTGGGTTTTGTCTTTTGGCTTCTGGCTCGCCTTGCTGTTTATTCTTCTAAACCAAATTTTTGCGCAATTTTTCTCTCTACCTCTATCGCTCCATCTTTCTCTATTTCTCTCTATCTCTATTTCTTCCTCCATTTTCTTCTCTTCTCTCCATCTCTCTATCTCTCGCTCTCTCTGCTTCTCTCTCGCTCTATCCCTCTCCCTCTATCCATCTCAATTTTCAAGTCAAGGACCCCGAGAAGTTCCCTGAATTCCTTCGAACGCTTGAATCCAGCCCCTCTCCATCTCCAGTTGGCTGCGTATGAAATTGCCACCAGCTGTCCATCCCCCCTGTCCGCTAACTGCCTTTTGTCAAAATCCACCCCCACCTATGGGTTTTTTGAGGGGATACTCCCCTCTCTAGGTGCACACATCCAGTTCCTTCCCACCTAGAGCGTTCCTACTAGCACTTTGAATGTCGAAAGGTACGCAAAATTTTTTTTTTCTGGCGTTTGAGGCTTCGAGTTTTGTTAAATTTGCGGGATTAATGTTTTGCGAACTTTATAGTATAGATATGGATCTCTTTCATGTCTCTCTCATACCTTCATTCTCTCCCCCCCCCCCTCCTCTCTCCCTCTCTCTCTCCCCCTCTCTCTCTCTCTCTCTCTCTCTCTCTCTCTTTCTCACTTTCTCACTTTCTCTCTATTTTCTCTCTTATTTCTCTCCTCTCCCCTCCTCTCCCCTCCTCTCCGTGATTTCAGTCATTTTTTTGAGACATTTTCAGCGATGTTTCTAACGATTTTCGATCACCCTCATCGCCTCCGAATTCCACCCCTCCAATCCAATCACAAAAACCTACAGGAAAACTGCTCATTCCTAGAGGCGGTGCGATGTGAGTGTCGCTTCAGCCAACCAACCGGGAGGGCAGTTTCCGGTTATACCGACCGGACAACACCCCCCCCCCCGCCCGAACAGTGACAAGGAGTAGAGCCGGCTCTCCTCCCACCTCCTCCTCCTCTTCTTCTTTGATTCTTTGAAGTGCCAATTGAGAGGGAGGGTCGAGAGGGGGTCAGCACGAAAACTTGCTCCTCGGGGGGTCAACTGGTCAACTGGTATCCCGGATGAACGAGGAGGTACCCTGGGAAACGACTAGGAAAGCCTACTACTCCACGAGTACCTGGAGTTAATTATGGGAAAGCGGATTGAGCTACAGTTCCCCCATTCTAAAGGGATCGGGAAGTCAAAACATCTGAAGATCTGGCGAAAAAAAGCGCTACTGCCGCGATTTTCGCTGTCGGCATTTCGCGTCCCGGATTTTTCGCTGTCGGTATTTTGCCTGGAATTTCCCATCCCAATTTTGGAATCCCCAGTAACGCCTTGCCAATCCCTTGAAAAATCTCCCCGTTCCGCTACGGTCCTCATGCCGCCCAGATCCAGACGCACGGCTTAATGACTCATTCCAGCTTCTCCCCTCCCGGGGCAAACGGTCCGGAAAATTGGGCGCGCCATCGTTTAGGGGATGAAGCTGGCCGGAGTGCGAGAGGAGAGAGAGAGAGGGGAGAGAGATCGTATCTCAAAGCGCGAATGGCCGTGAGCCAATTCTCGAGATATTCACCCGTTCGGCCGGCTCGAAAAAAAGCGGGTGTGCTTACGCGAGATTTATGAGCGCTTGTTGTTGGGTCGGCGGAATTTGGAGCGTAGCGGAACGGTGTGGAAAGGCTTCGGATATAGCTGTCACGATCCCTTGAAAGTTGCTATTAGTGCGGAAACGGCTCGGCAAGCTTACGCCTAGGCCGAAAGCGAAGCCTAGACGAAGCCTAAATCTAAACCTGCGCCTAAGCCTAAGCCAAGCCTAAGCTTAAGCTTAAAGTCAACCTAAACTGGCGCTTGAACCACGCCATTAATTCGTCAAGGTGAAATCCGACCCGATTCATCTCAATCTCGAGTTCGAGCTCCTCCCGCAAATTTGCATAGCCGTGGGCTATTTGGAGTCCCGGCGTTTCTAGTTTTCTCTCTCTCTCTCTCTCTCTCTCTCTCTCTCTCTCTCTCTCCCTCCATCGACAATTACAAACTGTTCACAAGTGCTGTTGCTCTCTTTCTTTTCTTGTTTCTTTCCCCTTCACTCTTTTTTTGCCCTCCTCCTCCCCCCCCCCCTACGCGCGAAACCAGTTTACGGGCTGCTGACCGAGGGTTGCCCTCGGGAATCCCGTCCTTTGCATACATTCGATAGATCCGGACCACGAGCAGGCGGTCACGAATTTGAAATTTTGGACTCTAGTGAATTTTTGTCCTTCCGGAAGAATCTCTGCTAGCTGGCCCTTTCTTTGGGCTTGTTCATTTTTCCTTAGTAATCTCTGCTCTTTAACTACCTCCTTAAAGGGATACCCTTTTTTTTGTTTAATATTTTTTTTTTTTTCTCCCGGAAAACACCCGCCCCCCCCCTTTTTTGGGGGGGGCCGGGGCCCCCCCCCCCCCCAAACCCCCCCCCCCCCCCCCCCCCCCCCCCCCCCCCCAACCCTTTCCCCCCCCCCCCCAACGGGATAAACCCCGTCCCTCCAAAGGGGGGCCCGGGGTCCCCCCCCCCCCCGGCCCCGGGTTTTCTTTTTGGCCCCCGGAAGGGTGGGTGACCCTTTAAGGATTTCTGCTAGCTTGCCCGTTTCCTCAAGCGGTCTCTGCTAGCTTGCCAGTCCGCAAAAATTATTTGCTAGATTCCTTTTCGACAAAAATTTGTGCTTCCTTGCCTTTCGGCCGGAGCATGTCTTCGTCTAAGAATCTCTGCTAGCTTGCCCTTTACTCAAAGAATCTCCGCTAGCTTGCCCTTCTACTCACAGAATCTCTGCAGGCTTGCCCTTCCCGAAAAACCTCTGCTAGCTTACATTTTCCTCAAGAATCTCTGCTGGTTTATGGATTCCTAAAAAATCACTGCTAGTTTTTCAACTGTCGCTCTCCCTTTAAGAAAACATTACTAGCTTCAGATTCCCCGAAGTCCTTCTCGTCCCCAAAATTCCAAATTCCAGCCAGTCCACCATCAGGAACCGGGAATCCCCCCAGGGTCACCCTTTAGAAAACTGAAAAGAGGCGGAAAATTCCGGGGGCGTTGCACTCAGACAGCCGGGGGTTTTTTTTGATGGGCTGTTCCTTGTTCTGGTTTTTCGTACATTGGTCTGACCAGGCTGGGTCTGATAAAAAAGTGGCTTTTACCAGCACATTAATGGAAAACCTTCGAGATTAATGGAACCTAGACAAAGGTATCCAAGTAACAATTGTTCTTCAAGAATCTCTGCCAGCTCTCCCCTTCCTCAATGACCTCGGCTAGCACTCCTCCTTTCCCAGGATTTCCGCTAATTCAACTTTTCCGCAAATGTGCCTTGCTCAATGGTCTTTGCTAGCTCCCTTTTTTCGAAAGTCCGTTAATCCGCCTATCGCATATTCCTGAGGGTTCTTTGCTAGTTTCCTTTTTCGGTACTCGGCTATTAGCGGGGGGGGGCTTTGGGAGACTTTTGCCCCCCCCCCCCGGTTTTTTTTTTTTATTTTTTTTTTTGTTTTTTTTTTTTTTTAAATGGTGTCGGGGGATTTTTTTTCCCCCTCGCCCGCGTTTTTTTTTTTTTTTTTTTTTTTTTGTTTTTTTTTTTTTTATTGTTTTCCCCCCCACGGGTACCCTTTTTTCCTCAAGGAAAGCTGCTAGATAGCCCTCGTCTTCAAGGATCTCTGCGCTAGTTCCTTCGACCCTAAGAAAATCTCATGCGCTCCTCTTCCTCAATGATCTCTGCAACCGAGCCACCCAACTCTGCCTTCTCCATCCCTTTAACGACTACCGTAACCCAGAAAAACCCTGCCATTGCAACCCCATTAACGGGCGACTTTTCCTTGGACCGTCAGCTCGAGCTCGAGCGGCTGTGGGGGCTAATAAACATGCCGTCGGGCTATTTGCCCTGCCGGCTTTACCCTGTACGGGGGGCGGGGCCGAGGATGGGATCGGAGTTTCAGCTCCATGAGCTCCGATTTTCCGGCTCCTCATCCCCATCCGTTCGTTGTTGGCATATCAGACGGAATCGATGATTCGACTTGGGCAGTTTTTTTGGGGGTGTCTGGAGGGACAGTCATCACATCAAGGCATTATTTTCGATGTTTCCCAAGAATTCCTGATAACGTGTTGAGTATTTGTCATTTTTGAGGGTTTATCTCATTCATTAGTTTCTCACGACTTGCCCCATTCCTCAAAAATCTGTGCTAGATTGCCTCTGCTAGCTTGCCCTTTCCCTAAGAACCTGTGCTAACCGTTCCCAAAACGCCGACTTGCTTAAGAATTTTTGATAGCTACCCCGTTTCCTCAAGGAATTCTGCTAGCTGGCCTTATTCCTCAAAAATCGTTGCTTGCTAGCGCTTTGCTCAAGAAACCCTGCTAGCTTGGCTTCCTCCTCAATGATTTCTGCTTTTTCCTTTTTCGTGCGGATTTCTCCTACCTGTCATTTCCTAAATATTCTCTGCCAGATCCCCGTTCCCAAATTTCTTGAGGGAAAGAAATCCATCTCGTTCCGCTTCATTTCTCTGTGCACCTGGGGCCATAAACCGTATCCCATCGGCATCTTTATGAGCTCAAATCGCCCGTGTCCATAGCTTAGTGGATCTCCCCAATCGTTTCCTGTTCCATTTTGCAGCCCGTATGTTCTCTGGCTGGAAAAAAAACTGCTCAGCTTTAGGCTTGGGCTTGGCTTTGCTTTGACTTAGGCTTAGGCTTAAGCCTAGACTTCGCTTGACTTCTTGCCGTTCTTCTGCCTTCTACGTCCCTTTAAACCCCATCCTCATGCTCAAGCTCCACAGCCGAGAATGGGTGTGGCTATACTCAGGCTCATGATGCGGGCCGTTGTCAGGTTTTCGCGGAGAGAGAGCGAGAGGGAGAGAAAGAGAAAGAGAGCAAGAGTTCAAGACCGGTCTGGTCGACACGGGCTTTTGACGGTGTGTGTGTGGGTGGACATCCCCTAATCAACCGGTGATTCTTACCCCCCTGGGGCGAGAAAGTAGGGCTTGACCCCGTGAAGAACCAGAAGCTGTTACCTACTCACAATTCCGGGCTCATCATTGGCCAGGTTTATTTAGTTTCGGTCCGTTTTGGCGTATTTTAAAAGGTTTCTTTTAAAGGTGCTAGAAATTTGCCTATTTTATGGCCTATTAATGGGTGGGCAAGACAAAGTTATGGATTTTTGGCTGTACGCTCTCCTCTCTCTCTCTCACTCTCCCGCTCTCTCTTTCTCTCCCCTCTCTCTCTCTCTCTCTCTCTCTCTCTCTCGTTCACTCGTCTATTAATCTTCAATTTCAGATGAAGAAGCGGACTATATTTCTGATATTCCCTATATTATGTTCCCTATCAAATGGCCTGTCCTACAAATGTCAGAACAATCAGGTAAAGCTCAAAAAAATTGTTTATGTAAAACTATTTAAAAAATAGGTGCTAGTCGTGCAATCGGTTGGGAATAATACGATCCGGATGCACTGTCAGCTTCCGTCGATTTGCGGTTACGGTAGACCCGTCGGTTTTTAAGTATTTGGAAGTGAAAAACTGAAACTGCAGGAGAACAGAAAGCTTAAACCTAAGCCTAAGCCTAAGACGAAGCCTAAGCAAGTTAAGAAAGTAAACCAAGGAAGCTAGAAGCTGCCTGCCTAAGCCTAAGCCTAAGCCTAAACCTAAGCCTCTGCTTAAGCCGTTACTACCAGCATCATCCAATCCAAGCGAAAGCACCCCTTATCCATCCACTATCCATCCTGGCTCTCAAGTGCCATATTACGACCCCCAGCTGGCCGGACTTTCGATATCTTTGACTAGCGCCTACGCGACAATGCTATATACACCTCGGAAATCACTAGTTTTCTAGCATTTTCGAATGATTTAGTACGTTGCACTACGCTAAAGTGCGCTAGACAGTAAGCTACCGTAACTAAGCAACTATGCGAGAAGGTAGACGGTAGCTTACAGTGCGTTAAGTGCGTTGAGTACGCTACAGCACGCTACAATACGCTAAAGTACGTTCCAGTACGTTTCACTACGTTACCGTCATTGAGTTTATAAGATGGATTTTTTTCAGCACTGTATCTACGAACAAAACCAAGACAACTGCGGCGGAGTCGAGAATTTTGTCGCAAAAGTCGAGCAGCTCGGCGTGGATCAACCGTAATTTTTAATTGTTAATTTACCATCAATATTTTTTTCATAAAACTTAGAACATTTTGGATTTGTAATTATAAATTAACTGATTTTTTTTAGCGTAGCCCACACTTGTTGCCGACTGTCCGAGCCAATCGCCACGCATCTGGAGAACGACTGTTTCATCTACGAGCTACCGGACGGGACGACGACGGCTGCCGGAAGTGAGGAGGAGAAGCTCGAAGAAAAATCACAAAAATCAAATCTGACGGTCGTCCGGAGTCTCGACGAGCTCTCCAAGGAGTTCACGGGCGACGCGAAAAATCAGGATGCCGGCTCGAAGACCTTCCAATTTCATTTCTACTCGCTTACCGAGAAAAGCCCACCCGTACTTCTTGTCAAGGCTATACAACGCTACAGGTATGGCTTTAATCTAAGTAAAAATATTCAGCTGAAATTTGCTTTATAATTATTAGGTTGGACCGAAAGTTCGTGCAAAATTTTTCATTATTTTTATTTTTGTTCCGGAAAACGGTACAGAAACAAAATGTGTTAGTAATAGACGTATGCACAATCAAATGCTCTATTCGACCCATGGGACGGATCACATCCTTTCCCTTATTTTTCAGTTTAATTTACTAGAAAATCGAAAAAGGCTGCGGACCGCTGTTTCCAAAACAGTTCCGATTTGTCTTTTTGCATATTTCAGCATCTAAATAGTAGTTAAAAAGTATTATCATGCTGGCACTTCATTGCTATGGTAAAGTTATGGTGATCCTGAAAGATGTCCGGGTCAAGAATTTGGACGCCTCCTAGAGAACACAAGAATAATAAAACTACTGCGCCTAAATCTTGTAAATTTTATCCCACATACTATTAAACTCCGCAAATACAAGGGAAAAGAAACAGCGACATCGGCCCACAAAAATTTTAGAAAGAAATTTCCGAAGTTCGATTTTACGAACTTATGGACCAACCTAATATGTATATCAAATGTAAAAAAGGATCCATTAATTACGTAATCAATTTTAGTCTGGGCTACCGGGTAACGATATGCCGGGCCAGGTGCCTGAATCGAGCGTCGGAAGCGGAGGCAGATTCGTTAGCGGCAGCCGCTTGGCGTGGCTTTGAATGGGGCAGATGGTCGAAGAAGTTGTGAGTTTCCTCTCGTTTCTCTCTCTCTCTCTCTCTCTCTCTCTCTCTCTCTTTCTCTCCCTCACTATCTCTCTCACGCTCTCTATCTTGTTGAATTTAGATGGCAAAAGATGGTGGGTGCTGATGGGGAAGTGCTATCCGGAAAGACTGAAGCCATGCAGAAAGAGAATAAAAATTCCGAGCCGCCCCAAAGAATTAATATTGGCGTTCCGGAAATGGAAGCGGATGGGGAATTGATAGCAGGTTGGTTTGAGAGAGAGAGAGAGAGCGAGAGAGAGAGAAGAGAGAGAGAGAGAGAGAGAGAGAGAGAGAGAGAGTGAGATCCAAAGAGCAATTCCCATCAAATCCTTTTCAGATAAACTCTTCAAGAACGGAAAAAGCGACAAAGCAGACGAAGCCGCTGAAGCCGACTTAGCCAATAATTCGGAAGCAATCCGCCGACACCCCGATTTGCACATCCACATCCACACTGGCAGCGGGGTGGACCGGGAATTGTTAGAAGAGCTTAGGAAATCCAGGGAAAGCCAAACCGATCTTAAACTCCCGAAGCTCGATCGAGAAAGGGCTACAAATCCCCTTGACAAGTCTTTCAACGTAAATGCAGTCGCCACAAATCATATCGAGATCAAAGCCAATGAAAAATCGGGGCCTGCAAATAGTACTGATGCGGAAAGTTCTGGAAAATCGGCTTCGGAAGCTTGGAGTGATGGTGGCAAGGGTACTGTAGAGGAAGACGGAACTGGTACTCAAGCGGACGGCTCGACAACCAAGCCACTGAAACCGGAAAAGCCGGAGAAGCGCAATGATCGGCACCCACCCTTTCCACCGATTGATGGGGACACGCCGAGTAAGAATTCTGAAGCCAGCCAAGCCAAAATTCCGCGGACTCCAAATTCCGTAGCTAAATTTGATGAACCCGAAGTTGAAGCTAAACCAGCGAAGGCGAATATCGATGAACTCAGCCGAGAAAATCTCGAAAAGTCGTCTGCAGCTTCTGCCGAATCCGGAAATCAAGTCCCGCCCGAGAGATTGGAAGTGCCTAGAAATTCGTCTGAAGCTTCGGAAGAATCTGAAAATGAAGTCAGTTCCGTCGAAGTCAAAACCGAAGCCAGTGAAGAAAAGCTGGGCTATAGAGATTCTGCAGAGCCTGACGATACGGGTGATTCGGAGAGCATTCCGGAAGCGGAAGGACTGTCTGAAGAAGATGACGTCAAGACTGACGACGCTGATTCTGAAGTCAAAATCGCTTCTCCGGTTCCTCCGGAAGCTAGTGAAGAAGGAGAAGGAGCTGGAGGAGCTGGAGAAGCTGCTTCTGATGAGAATTCTGAGGCAGGAGGGGATTCAGAAGACGTTGAGGATGATGAAACTGATCCGGAAAAGTCTGAGAAACTAAGGCCGGCTGGTAAAAACCAAGTTGTTGAAGCCCCTGGAGCTCCCAAAGCTACCGGAACTTCTTGTGCTACTGGAGCATCAAGGGGAAGCAACTGGAGATCCAAAAGCCAATGAAACTTCTGAAGCTCCCGAAGTTCCTGCTCAGCTCAAACCTGACCCAAGAAACCTCATAGACCGAAAATCTGGAAATGTCGGATCCTCGACCACGCAAAAACCAAAAAATCCGGCAGATCTGGGCCCAGACCCTGAAAATTCAAGCGGAAAAGTCACCGGAACGAAACCGGAAGCAACGAAAAAGTCGCTGTCAGACATTTTGAAGCCAGTCCGACCAAGTGGCAAGCAGAAACTTGATGTTAACCCTGAATCTGGACACCTACCTTCAAATGGAGACAAGATTTTGAGGCCGAGTGACGAGGACCCTCCGCTTGCACCTAACGACGGGGCAGGAAACGGAAAAACTGGGCGAGCCGCACCAAATGCTACGAGTTCCAGGCCAAGTGAAAAAACTACAGTAAATCCGTCAAATTCGAGCAGTTCAACGCCGGAGCCACGCATTAATGGGGGTGAAAGCTTGACAGGCCCGAAGATGACAAAGATGAAGCCAGGAAACCCAAGCCGCTGAATCCAGCTAAGCCAACAGGCTCGGAATTACCTACGGCTGCAAATAACGGCAGTCCAGAAGCGGTTCCCGACCGGAAGTTGGCTCCAAACGTTCCGGAAGGCAACCCGGATCCTTCCGGAGGCCAAAAACTGACAGGAGATCGGACAGTTGCGGATCCGGAGGGAAAGTTGATCCCTGAAAACCCACGAAAACCTGATCCGGCAGATCCGGAAGGTGGCCGCCTACCTATCATTGACCCAAGCGATCCCAAGACTGACTATAAAGGCGAAAAATCTGTTCCGGAAGGTGACACTGAAACAAGAGCAAGACCGGGGCCAGGAGGTCTTCAGGGCCCGGGAAAACCACTAGAACCTCTTCCGGAAAACCTTAAATCTGGATTATTTTCGAAAAACGATAAAAGCAAGGGAAACCGGAACGATCCGGAGCCTTCCGGAAGCATTAATGGTACAAAGAACGGGGCTCCGGAAACGCATCCACTCCACCTCGTCTCAGGACACTCGAAAAACGTGCACAAACCGATTATCGAGCGAAGGGGATGGCTGCCGGATATTCAAGGAAACAGCAAGAGACTGCCGGGGGAGGGTACGGTAGATGGGGCGCATGATAGGAAGGAGAAAGGTGGAGGAGAGGCTCCAGGAAATCCTGGGCAAGCTAAAGCCATGGGCTCGGAATTGGATCCCAAACATGAAAAACGCGCAGCCGAAAAGATTGCGGTAGATCTGGGCACTAATGGAACGCTTCAAAACTCGAAAAATCCTGGAATTCCGGATTCCGGAAACGCCATGAAGCCGTCGAAAATCGAGAAAACGGATAAAACCGGTCTGTTAGGATCTGGAAATTTATCAGGAAATGCCAAAAATGACAAAAATTGGATAAATCACGACCGTGAACCTGGTGGATCCGGAAAAGGTACCGAATCAAGCCCAGAAAATGGAACTCATGGGGCCGGAACCAAAGCCGAAAATGGGCAAAACGGCATAAAGAATGAAATCGGAGTTTCCAACAAAGGTAACCATTCAAAAAGTGACGTTCCGGAAGGCGGCGGAAACACGAAAATTGTTCCGGAAAATTTGGAAAATAGAAGATATGTTGAAAAAAGGCCATCCAAAGCTGCGAAACCGGGCGATACGAAGATTCCGGAAGGTCCCGGAGCCAATCCAAAGGGGACCGGAAAAACAGACAAGCCGGAAAGCTTCGGAAAAATTGGTGGGAAGCCGGAAAAGTCGGGCAGCTCAGGAAACTTGGAATTAAAGACGGGAGGACCTAAAGAGACGGAGAGAACCTTGGAGAAACCGGAAAGTACAGAAAAACCGGAAACGACGACAAAAGAACCTAAGGAAGACGAGACAAGGCCTGGTACTTTAGAAAATCCTGAAGCAGAAGCGGAGGAAACGGTAATCCCAGCGACAACCTCGAAAACATCAATTCCGGAAGCGGAAGAGGAAGGAACCGAGAAAATCGAGAACGAAGGAAACGATGAAAACTATCCAGATTCCTATGAAGACCTGGGCAGTAAAGAGAAAGACTACGGAATTGATGATGGGACGGAGGATGAGGGCGAGAAAGTACCTGGAGATCCGGAAGAGGATCCGGATACGGTAGAATCGAGGCACCAGAATTCAACCAAAGCTGACAAAATGGATTCTGGCGAAGACTTCAGCGTTGAGAATGCGTTTGACGACAAGGGACGGCCGAGTCTGGCGCTTCTGGAGGGGGATCTGGATGGAGGTTGGTCGTTTTGGAGGCTTTCGAGAGTCTAGGCCTATGCCTAAGCCATATTTTAGCAAACGACCCACCCGAAGCCCTAGACTATGGCGAAGACGCATCCCATCACGTTGCGAATGCCGCACCCATTCAGGTATTTCACTTTTTATTTTTAAAAGACTTTTAAGCAAAATTTGAACCTATTTGGGTACAGAATTCGAAGCAACCTGACTGCTAGACCCTTAAAACATACAAAAATTTCATTATGGCCTATTTTCCAGAAAGAAGCCGTGCGCCCTGTACAACTTCCGGACGTCCCACCGGATCCGGAAGCCATCGCGAACCGGAATTACGTGCGGGAGGACGCGCGGTTTGATGCGAATACACGGATTATTGATGCGCAGGAGGCACAGGTAAGCTAACAGCTAACTTTTAAGCCTAAGCCCAAGCCTAAGCCTAAGACTAAGCATAAGCTGCCGCCAGCCTGCCGCTCGCTGCCAGCAGCCCTGCTAGCCTGCTAGCCTGCTGCCGCCGCTGCCTGCCCAGCCTGCAGCCTAAGCCCGCTGCTGCTTGCTGCTGGCCGCTGGCCAGCTAGCCGCTGCCTGCTAGCCTGCGCCTGCGCCTGCTGCCGCTAGCCGCTGCCTCGCCAGCCCTAAGCCTAAGCTAAGCCTAAGCTAAGCCTAAGCTAAGCCTAAGTCTAAGCCTAAGCTAAGCCTCAGCTAAGCCGACCCTCAGCTTTCAATCCAGGCAGAAGCCGACGAGAAAGCCGCTGTTGCCCAGCGGGCCAGGCGAAACTGCTTTTCGGGAGATCTTCTTGTTCCGACACCATACGGGAACAGGAGAATGGACGAGCTGCAGATCGGAGATAGGGTAAGTTAGTTCAGAGGCCGCGACAAGCAACGCACATGCAGCGCGCGCAGTACTACGCGATGCAACGCAATGCCAGCCCTAAAACCCAATTTCCAGATCCTGGTCCCGATCGCGCCGGGTGTCTCTCAGTTCGAGATGATCGAAATGTTCTACCATAGGGATCCTGAGAAGGAGACCATGTTTTTGAAGATCAAAACAAGGGAAAGGTCGATTAGTGTGACGCCAAAGCATCTGATCCCGGCTGGGAATTGTGGCGACTTGAACGAGACGCTGACGACTGAGGGGGATGTGCAAAAGGTAAAAAAGAGAGAGGGAGGGGGAGAGAGAGCGAGAGAGAGAAGGAGGGAGAGAGAGCAGTTGAGGTAGAGAGAAAGGGTGCGGAAGAGAGAGAGGGAGCGTGAGAGCGAGAGAGAGGGAGAGAGAGAGGGAGGGAGGAGAGAGAGAAAGACAGAGAGAACAGAGAAAAAAAAAAGCTATTCCACTCTTGTATCCCTATTTAGCTTCTTCGTTCCTCCATTTTCGCCCGTAACCTAAAACCCGGGATGTGTCTGGTTACGGTAGATGATTATGGTCAACTCGTTTTACAAGAAATTCACGAGGTACGACCTGATTTCAGAATCCCAACGTATTTTTTCAGATTTCTCGTCAATATTCACGCGGTATCTACGCCCCGGTGACGGTCAGTGGGTCGATAGTGGCCAATGGGATCTTGGCTTCGTGTTTTGCGGAGGTAAAATGAGGGTTTGGAAAGTGAATATTTTTTATAGGTGGAATCACATACGATGCAGAAGCTGCTCTACGATTTTGTTAGCATGGTTTATCGATATTTTGGGATGAGTGGTAGATTTTAAAGAAAAAAAAAAGAGAGAAACAAAAAAAAAAAAAAAAGAGAGAGAGAGAGAGAGAGAGAGAGAGAGAGAGAGAGCGCGGGTGAGAGATAGAGCCACGCGCGAGAGAAAGTTACAGAAAACCTAGAACGCTAGAGTACGCGAAACCAAGGAGCTAGAGAAAGCAGAGAAGGCCAGAGAGGGAGAGAGAGAGGTAGAGAGAGAGAGAGAGAGAGAGAGAGAGAGAGAGAGAGAAAGTGCGAGAGGGATACAGAACGAGAGAGAAAATTTCCAGAACAGTTCTCACCAATTTTTCAGGCTTTTCAACAGACCACACCCCCATCCCGGCTCTACTCGATGTCCTACAGTACCTCGGCCAGCTCACAGTCCCGTTTATCCACCCCTAACTGCATTTTCTTACACTTTTTCACCGTTTTGCACCCCTTGCATCCGCCTAATAATTTGCAATTTTTGCTTGCAATTTTGCCAGCATTTTTACTTGCAATTTTTCAATTCGCATCCGCATCCATTTCGCACGGGTCCCGCCACTTTTACCTGCACGTTTTACAGCAATTTGCACCCCCGCCCCCGTACCCCCCCCCAATAAATGCCTGCTCAACACCAGCAACAAAATACTAACTTTTTTTGCTTTTTTTACTAACGCTAATCACGAAAAGCAGCTAAAAATTCGCATGAAAACAGCACGAGCTTTGGTACTTAAATTTGTACAAATTTCCACAATTTTTGCACTCTTCACCGGCCCTTTAATGGACGTTTCACGGCATAAGGCTTGGCAAGAACTGGTTTGATGATTTACAAAGCCAAAAAATGCGAAATTGCGCCTTGCGTCTCTTTTCTCATTTCTCTCTTATCCGATAACGCTCAAAATGCCGAAAGTTCAGGAGGTCGAAATTTCGGTGTTTTTGATAATTAAAAACATTGAACGTTCAGGAAGTGGCATTTAAAAGGCCCAATTTTGAGAATGACGAATTTCAAGATGTCGAAATTCACCTGTAAAAAAATTAATTCCCCCCCAAACCCCCCCCCCCCCCCCCCCCCCCCCCCCCTTCCCCCCCCCCCCTTCCCCTTTCCTCCCCCCCCTTTTTCTTAAAAACTTAAAATTTTTTCTTTTTACCATCCACCCCGCAATCTTTTTCCTTTCTTCACCCCCCCCAAAAAAAAGGGGAGAGGAAAAAAAAAATTGGGGGGCGGGGGGGGGGTTCTAGACTCTTACCTTTATTTCGGAATTTGAGAACCGACCGGAGAATCCGAATTACAAAATGTCGAAACTTCGAGACGCCGAATTTAGAATTTCGAGTTTTCAGAATGCCGAAACCCACCGTCGAAGTTCAGAACGTCGAAAGTTCAAAACTGACGCCCCCCAACTGAGCCCGCGGAAGTTGGGAAAATTTGTCCCACTCTCGGGGAACCACCCCCCCCCCCAGGGATCCCCTCCTTTCCGGCCCCCCCCCACCCAACCCCCCCCCGGGGGTGTCGGCATTCTAACACGTCGCAATGCATAATGCCGAAATTAATTTTTATTTTTTTTTTTTTTTTCTCCCCCCCTTCTTTTTCCCTTTTTCCCCTTTTCCTCTTTTTTCTTCCTTCCTTCTTTTTTTTTTTTTTTTTTATTATTTTTTTAATTTTTTTTTTTTTTTTTTTTTTTTTTTTTTAATTTTTTTTTTTTTTTTTTTTTTTTTTTTTTTTTTTTTTTTTCTTTTTTTTTTTTTTTTTTTTTTTTTTTTTTTTTTTTTTAAAAAAAAACCATAAAATCTACCAAAAATTTTTTTTTTTTTTTAAAAAGGACTTTCCCGGGGTTTTTTAAAAAATTTTAAAATTTTTTGCATTACTTTCTTTCCAATGATATATGGATCAGGGAAATCCACAAAAATTCGAAAAATGTCGGTATTCTGAAATTCGAAACTGGCAGTTCCGACGTCCCACTTTCGACATTTTTAAGTAAAGACTTTTGCAAATATTTAGATTTTTCTATAGATAGTAAAGTAACGGAATTCAAAGGCCCCTCCTCGGTTATCCACGAATTATTGCAACCCCAATTTCGTACTCTCACTGTCCCAAATATCCGTTATCCGCCTCCCCCCCCCCCCCCTCTAAAAGTGATAGGCGTCGAAAGGAAACATCGGAAAGTCTTGATGGAGGCAGGGAAAGGTAGACCCGCTGGGATAAGTGACCTGATTCGGCCCTTCCCCCTCTCTACCCACCCAAAATTCCGTGTTTTGCTAAAGGACAAAAAAGGGACAGTGTCATCCTCCTCCCGGGGTGGGTGCTTCACCAATTCTCGCTGGAGGGCACAGCTTGATGCCGGCCGGGAAAAACCGGGTATCTCCCGGGTTTTGGCTCCCGGCCCTCCCGGTGAAAATCGCCGAAAATCGGAAATACCCTCCGCGCCCTGGAAGGCTATTCAACGCCGATGATCTGCGCCGGATCAGCCCTTTTTTGGCTCGTTAGCCGGTTGATAGCCGAGAAATTCCGTTTGTGTACTAAAGACCTTTTTGGGGCGATTTTTTGCAGGGGGTTTTTTTTTGTTTTTTTTTTTGTGGGGGGTTGGGGAATGTAAAATTTTCCGGGCCTAGTGTCGACTACAAAACGTTTTTCCACTTGTTTTTATACGTTTTTAATGAGTTTTAACAATATTTCCAGCAGAAAATTTTTTAAAACCATTTTGAAAGCTGCTTCAAGTAAAAATTTAAAATCATAGCCCGCGTCGAAAAAAAATTTTTTCTCGCCGGGACTTCTAATTTTTCAACGATTTTTGGCATAGCGTCTTTTTGCACACTATTGCGCTCTCACGCTCTCTCTCTCTCTCTCTCTCTCTCTCTCTCTCTCTCTCTATCTTCCATACCATGTCCTCTATGCTTTAGATTCCCCTAAATTCCACCCTTTTCCAGATTCCACTTCCCTCCCGGGATGCGGTGGTGGTGGTTGGGCTGGCTGCCGGCCTTCGCTGCCCTTTCGTATAAGTGCCAAAATGATCAGGTAAGGGACGCGGGATACAGTATTCTAAAGCAGGGATTACCTTAACCCCTTCAAAGTATCGTACTTACCATATTTTCAGGTACTTGTCGTTCAATCGTTCGGGAACGACACCATCCGAATGCACTGTCAGCGGCTGGACCTTTGTGGTTATCAAAGACTGGTGGGTCTTGTAGCCGAAGCCTAAGCCTGAGTCTAAGCCTAAACCTAAGCCCAAGCCTAGCCTAAGCAGAAGCCCAAGCCTAAGCCCAAGCCAACCCTATCTAAATACTTTCTATTTAAGAAATGCGAGTACGACACGATGCAGCCGCACTGTGGAGGCCGGATGAATTTCGTGTCGCACGTCAACCAGGGAACCCCCAGTGGATTGTGGGTCTTTAAACCTTTTGCAAGGATTGTATAAGCTACAAACGTAGACCATAAATGTATATTCGCCGGTATGGAATTTGAAATTGTAGAATTTTTAATCAAAAACAGCAAGCGGTACTCTTACAACCCAAACAACAACTATCAATTACTGATTTCTCATGAGAAAAGCCTCAGATACTGTTCTATATTGCTATATAAAGGTATATTGTAACTGTAAAATGAGATAATGGCTGATTTACAAACAATGAGATGAAAATTCCATAAAAAATTCACAGAAAGATTCAAAATTAACAAAAGCCGAGTTATTTCTTAATAAACGGTCTGTAAACCGTGTAAATTTACTGCCAAATGCATGGAGAAATGTTATTACGAAAGATAAACCAAAAAGCAAAAGGCAAAACGTTTCGACCACGGGTGGGATTCGAACCCACGAACCCCCCTTGGTAGGTGGGGTATTCGCTTGCAAGGCGAACGCCTTAACCACTCGGCCACCACGGTCAGGGGATTGGGGCGAGCCCTCCCTTTTGGCCGCACGTACGGTGAAAATTTTCACCTAGTGGGCCAGGTGGGGTTTTTACTTTTTTTGAATTTTGGTTAGACACAATAAAATCTTTTAGAATCTCGTGTTTTAGGGTAGTTTTTAACGTAGTTTTGCGCTGGCAATCAAATTACGCGAAATTGGGATTGTTTTGGTTTTATTTCTGATTAATGAGTTTCAAGGACTTTTTAGAAGGTTTGAAAGGGCTGCAAAAAAGCAAACGCCGCTGCAATTAGGCTTTTTCTGTAATTTACAATACTCTAACTAGCGAAATTTTCAGCTTTTGTTGTTAAAACTTAAACATCTTTCCTAATGTCGGCGTTATGACCATAATTCCTGTTTTAAGATCGTTTTTGTTTAAAATTAGCTAACTTTACTATATTTTGTGAATAAAACCGTTATAACGCTAATTTTAGAGTGGAACACACTTGCTGTCAACTCTACAACCCTCGCCCGCCAAACGTCGTCCCGACCCACGAGGGAAATGACTGCTTCATCTACGAGCTCCCCGACGGATCCACCCACCCGGTCGACGAGAATATCGAGCCGATCAGCCAATTTAATGCCGTAAGCGGTTAGATCTGGATTTTTTTGCCTTCAAAATCACTTTAAAAAAAAACCAAAAGAAACTCTAGTAATTTTAGGAAGACCAACCGTTGACCGTCTTGAAAAGCGCGGCCGACATCCCGTCCCAAATCGATGGGTACACCGGATATCGACTCCGGCTTTTCCTGCTCCGGAATAAGAGCCCGCCCACGTTGCTGGTCAAGGGGATCGAGAGGAGAATGTAAGCAAGTTTGTGCTTAAGCCTAAGCCAAACCAAAACCTAAGCTAAGCTTAAGCATAAGCCCAAGCCCAAGCCTAAGCCTAATCCTAAGCCTAAGCCTAAGCCTAAGCCCAAGCCTAAACTAGCTAAGCCTAAGCCTAAACCTAAGCCTACTTTCAGTGACGGCTACCGCGTAACCATCTGCCGTCCCCGCTGCTCCGGCATGAAGGTTTCCGACCAGCAAAATGGCTTCTCCGGGGTCTCCTGGAGCCGCTGGAGCTCGTCAAGGTGAGTCGCACTCCATTAGCATCATCCCCAATTTTAGCTGGTCTTCGTGGGCACGAAGTGTGTGGGGCAACGCCGAGGGTGAAGCCGAAGCGGAAGCCAGGGAGAGGGTGCGACACAGGTCTTCGGAGATCCTCAACGGGGAGCAACCGGCTGGTGGGTTATTGATTAAACCTAAGCCTAAGCTGAAGCCTAAAACCTAATTTTAATCTTAAGCTTAACCTAGGCCGATGATACACTAATTAAACTTTCAGGTACCCCCGCTTCCGCTGCAGCTTCCGCGGCCGCCGCTGCAGCTGCCGCAGCCGCTGCACAAGCTGCCGGTGCTTCTGGAAACAACGGAAACGGACTTTCCGCCGGGAACCTCGCCCCCGTTATCCCTCTAGCTGGGGCCGGAGCTTCATCCACGAGCTCCTCCTCGGGCTCATCCTCAAGCTCATCCTCAGCTTCCTCCTCTTCAAGCTCTGGAGTCAAGGCCGAATCCGGGAACTCAGGAAGCTCCGGAAATTCGGCCTCCGGAAACGCTGCTGGCAGTTCCTCGTCTACTTCTGGTACTTCGGGAAGCGGTGGTGGAGCTGCGGGAAATTCCGGAAGCGGCAGCGCTTCCTCTTCAACAAGTTCAGCCGCAGTTGGAGGCCAAGGAGCCAACGGCCAAAACGGGACCATCCACATCCACATCCACACCGATGGGGAGGGGAAGCCGGTCGTTGGAGGGTTCGTGACAGGTGGAGGAGCTGGAGCAGCTGGAGGTGGAGCAGCTGGAGGAGCTGGAGGAGCTTCCGAAGGTGCTGCGGGAAGCGGTACTGGAGCCGCTGGAGGCGATTCCGGATCCGGAACGACACCGAAAACCGACTCCTCCGAGTCGTTCAACGGTAGGGGGCCAAATACGGACTCGCCGAAGCCGAATGGGTCTTCGGGGACTGACAATGGGCCGACGGACCCCGATGCCGGAGGGAAAGAAGGGGGATCAGATGCTGGAAAGACTACGGTAAGCATAAACCTAAGTAAGGGCCTCAGCTTGAGCCCGAGCATGAGCATGAGCCTGAGTCCGAACACCCTTGAAAAACCGTTTAAGATGCCCTTTTTAGGAATCCGGAGCCGAAAAACCCTCCACACCGGAAACCGGAAAGGACAAGAAATCCGTAGAGGTAATTTTTGATAATAAAAATTGATTTTTTCGCTGTTTTAGACAACCGAGGGAACAGCATTCAAGGTGGAACCTGACGGAACGAGTAGCTCGGAAAATGGCGGAGATTCTGAAGGAAAACGTGAGAAAATCCAGGTCCATCTCATCGAAAAAATCCATTTTCTAGGTCCTAAATTCGTGGCGGGACGCGAGGGACCGGCCGACAGCGGCGAGGGCGGCGGAAACGCAGAGGGGGACGACGAAAAGAAGGAGGTCGAGGGCAGAGTGTAAGTTAAGGTCGAGTCTAAGATAAGACCAAGCCTAAGCCTAAGCATAAGCCCAAGCCTAAGCCTAAGCCCAAGCCTAAGCCTAACCTACCCACCTTTTCCAGGAAAGGGGACGATTTCTCGGCCGAAGTCACCAACGGTGGAGATGAAGATGATGATGAGGAGGGACCGGAAATTACCGAAGATGGAGGGGATAATGTTGAGGTATGTAGATGAACATCAAGTTAAGAATGGGCCAATGCACTTCAGACGAATGGAGTAGATGGTAAGGGCGGAGATGGGGATGATACTGAAGGGGATGACGATGCCTCGATGAATCCGGACAATGATGGGGATACGGAAGGCGCCAATGGACAGCCGGGGAATGCTGTGAAGGTGAGAGAGAAGAGAGAGAGAGAGAGAAAGAGAGAGAGGATGGCGGGAGAGAGCGTGGGAGAGAGATATATATACAGAGAATCTAATAGACTTTAGCACTAGCTTAAATTAGACCGTTTTTTTCAAACAATGCCGACAAGCCGACAAATGCAAATCGAACCACTAAATTCCATACCATTACTTTCTACACCAATTTACGATCCAGACAAATACCGAAAATTCGAGCGAGAGTGGATCTCCGGAAAATTCGGAAGAACCGGAAGAAGATCCAGAATTCCATGGCACAACGAAAGAACCAAACGAAGAAGACCAGCGGATAGAGCTGGAACCGGTGAATTGAGCAGCCTCAGTTCGACACCGTCACTAAATGATCATAACCCCTGCGTTTCCCTCATCAAAATCTTGGTTTTATTAGTTGTTTTGAGTATTTTTGATTCCTATAAATGGAATTTTCAGGACGGAATCGAAGCCAAGGATGAGGAGGCCGAGAAGAAGCGGAAGCGGCTGGCGAAAGCCAAGGCAAAGGCGAAGGCGAAGAAGGTGAGTGAGAGGAGAGAGAGAGAGAACCATCGGAAGAATCACCGGCATTGTTTTAAAGCACGTGGCAAGCTAGCAGAGGTCATTTTACACTTCCAGGCCGCCGCAAAGAAAAGACGACAGCGTCAGAAACAACTTCGCACGATCCAAGCGGTAGATGAAGCCGACGAGCCGTCCCCAATCCAGGGTCGTGCCGCAGCCGAGACCCCGGCAGCTGCCGGAGCTCGAGCCCCCGTTCAAGCCGCCGCCCCTGCCGCCGACGCGGTCGCGGCCGATGCTCCAGGTGCCGGAGCTGGAGGAGCAGGGGTAAGTGGCGCGGCGCATGATCTAAAAATGATTCCAGAAAAACTGCTTCGCCGCCGACAGCGTTGTCTCGACCCCGGAGGGCCTGAAACGCATGGATGAGCTGCAGGTTGGAGACCGAGTGTTGGTGCCGACAGGTAGATTGAGATTGACCTGTTCCTCTATGCCTCTAATCTCTAGCGAATGGCGTGCCAAAGTACGAGCTGGTTGAGATGTTCTACCATCGAGTGCCCGACAGGAAGACGAACTTTGTGCTGATTGAGACCGGTAAGCTTGATGTTAAGCTAAGAAACGTCAGCTGAAGCTCAGCCTAAGCCTAAGTCTGAGCCTCAATCTAGCTGTTTCCATAACTCATTCTTCCAGAAAACGGCCGCAAACTCGCCGTCACCCCACTGCATCTACTCCCCGTTGGCAGCTGTGATGACATGAGACAGCTCATGAACAACGTGAGTTTTTCGGATAATTCCAAACTCTAAAAAAAAGGGAAACGTGAAAGCTAAAAACCTAATTAAACCCCCACAAACACTAGTCATTTCCAGAGTGACGCAATCGACCAGGCGCTGCGCGGATCCAGATTTGCCTACAGGGCCCAGGTTGGAGACTGCGTGCTTGCAGCTGATGACGAGGGACAAGTGGACGTGGAACGGATTGTCAAGGTAGAAAAATGAGCCCAAGCCTAAGCCTACGTGATGCCTAAACCCCTGGAAATCAATTTTTTAATGCCTTTTTTGCAGGTTGGCCGCCGAATCTCCACCGGAATCTACTCCCCAATCACCGTCGAAGGCTCGATAATTGTCGATGGGGTGCTGGCGAGCTGTTTCGCGCAAGTACGCTCATAAAGGTCGAAAATTGGTAGAAAAAAAGCGTTTCGATAGCTCGAAAGCGTTAGAAAAGCCGTAAAACGCTAAGAAAATTGCTGCAAAAACACTCCTGGCATTGTAACGTGTTTTGAAAACATTTCTAAAGTTTTTGGATGTTTAAAAACATATAAAAAAAGTAGGGAGACTCCAAAAAAATAGCCAAAAATTATCTAAGAAGCTTCTGGAAAACTTTACCTCCATTTTCCTAGGTCGAATCGCACGCCACGCACAAGATCCTCTACGATTTCACCCACTGGGCTTATCGGATGACCGGACTGGCGACGTCAAGTAAGTTTTATAAGCTTACAGCTTCTAAAAATGAGGCTATAAACTACAAATACTAGTTGTAAAGTTTAAACCCTTGTAAAAACGCTCTATAATACAACTTTAAACCTCTAAAACTATAAAACAAACGCAAAATTTCAGCCGAACAATGGTCGGATGTGCTGCCGCTCCCGAAAATGATCCACTACATGCACGAGCTGAGCCGTCACGTCCTCCCGTTCGTCAAGTTCTAAACCCGAACAAAAACACCTCCGCCCTCCCCCACCAAATCTCAAACTTTGACTCACTAATATTTATTTATTTATGGCTATTATCATTTGACCACCCCCCAGTATGCGCTGATGTATTTCTGCAGTTACATTTCAATACTCCTCGACGGGTCCCCCACTTCATTTCTTTGCTTATCGTAGCCGGTGCAATCTTTTAGCATTTATTTATACGCCCCTAGTACCCCACGCCGCCGTGTCTTTCGCCCGTTTCGCCGGTTTTTAGATGTAATTTTCGTTGGCAATTTCGATAAATATTTATGTTGAGGGTGTTTTTTGAAAACACGATATTTTGTTTAGTATTTAGACAACTTTTAAAATCTCTAAAGATATTTGAAAAAGTTAAATCAGTATATATTGCTTTAATACATTTTCTTGGACCCCTAAAGTGTCTGATCTAGAAGCCTGATCCCGTTGACTTCTGGCACCTCACCAGCCATGCCTCAGCGCAGCCGCGCGCGACGGGTCTCGCCCCCGTTCGAACATAAAAACCCGCCAATTTTTAAATTTTTGCACGATTTCTGAAAAGCTGGAGCTATTTTCATCGTTCTTACTGTTATAATTATCGAAACTAGGTTATTGCGGCATTTTTTTCCTATTAAATCTCCAATGACCTCAATTATTCTAAAAGCCAGCATCGATTATAGATAAAGCTTAACTTTATTTAATTATATCTTTAACTACTAAGCTTTTCGGTCTCTTACGGATTTCAGGCGCTAAATTTCGGCTTTGATTTAAATTTTTGAAACCAATCTTGATACTTTTAAAGCTACGGTAACCGTAGTTACTTACCATCCCAGTATCGAATGCATTCAAAACTACTTGTTGCCTAGACAAAATTTTAATTTCGATAATTTTACTTTGAAAATGACCACATTTCCGCTCCAACAGCTGCCAACAGGTCGGGTCCCCTTTTTTCTCTTCCCGCCCCCTTTCCGTGCATAGCAGCGGCGCGTTGCCGCATGCCCGGAAACGAGATTCCCAAAAATCGATCACATTTCGATCACCTTGCCCGCATTTCCTCTTTCCATTCAGCTGTTCATTTCCCTTTCGTTCAATTCTGATTTTTATCTTTGTCTTCATTTCTTCAAAGTTTCCGATTCCAAAGATTCAACGGTTGATTTCAGATTCCGATCTCTCGCAGCTTGGTGAAGTTTTAGGATTCGCTGGGCGCCATGATGGATGGACTTAGGTGAGTTGAATACTTTGCCTGCATTTTATTTGATCTGTGTATTTGTCGAAAATTGGATTTGTTAACTTTTCGGTTTTTGTGTCTAGGGGGAAACTGGACTGTTCCTGTGTGTAGACTGTTTGTTGATTTTCGAAAAGAGTCGAGAACATTTTGCCAAGTTTCTAAATAGCTTTTTCCGCAGCAAAAATATAATTTTGTCAAAATTTGGAAAATCTTCGGTTTACAAAAAATACGAAATTTTATATTTCCTTTGTGGAAACTACATATTTCTTCAACATGTTGCCATTTTCAGTGAGATCCCGCTACCGTCGCAACCCGTCGAGCATCAACCCGCCTGGAAGTCAGCCCAAGACGCCCTACACCGGATGGGCTACAACAACACGCCGCAGAAGAAGCCGCCGATGCCTCCCAGCCTAATGCAACAGTACCCATGGATGGCGGCCGCGCTCGGTACGGTTTCGCCGGTCGCCTCCAACAACGCCCCGACGCCCCCGAACCCATATACCGTTTCCCCGTATGGTCAAAGACCCGTGCCGAACCAGCAGCAGCCACCACGCAACAACTCCTGGAACCCGCAGCCCCATCAGCGCTTCCAGGGCCCGCCAATGAACAATGGCCCAAACAACATGTACCAAACGATGCCCCACACCTACGGTCAACCGCCCGGCCAACGGCCCGTCAAGTTCGCGATCAAGCCGTTGAACAGCAGCTTTGTCTCGAGCAACCCGCGTCCGATGGTCGTGCCCGGCACGGCCGTCCCGGTCGGCGGTGGACCGTTTGCTGGCGCCCCTCCGTCTGTGATGTGAGTTTGGATTTAATTGGGGCATTCTTTCGCAATATCGGAAGGCATTTTTCGGAGCTGTCCTAAACGAAAAACTGCAAATTTCTCGTTGAAAAATAGAACATTCTTTATTTTTTGACTAAAAATTCTTCGCATTTTTATAGCTTTTCTAATAATTTTGGCGCTGAAAGTTAAACTCGAGCAAAATAGTATTAAAACATTGCTAGGCTTGACTGGACTTTTAGGAAGAAAATTACCTCCTTCCCCGATATTGCGAAAGAACGTTATCTTTTGCTATTGCGTTGTTCTTCACTTACCACCCTTTTCCAGGAACTACATCCAGCGCGCGCGCATGGCCATCGAAGACAAAGATGCCCCCAGGCTTACCGAGTACCTTGAGAAGCGGCTTCGGCCGCTCCTCTCCTCCGGCACGGCCGGCATCATCAACTGGGACAACGAACCGTTGCCCCACACACTCAATTTTCAAGTCAAGACGATGTGGACACCGGCCCACCAATTGCCCGGGAAATATAACAGCCAAAAAGCGCGGCGCTCCGACGAGATGTCCACCCCGGAGAAGAAGCTGAGCAAGAAGGAGCGCAAGCGCCGCGAGCACGACCAGGCGGCAGCTACGGCTACCGATTATAGCAACAAGGTTCAGAGCACGGGTCTTTGGTTAAAACCTAAAATTAAGATAATCCCCTAAAATTATCGTGATTCCGTTTCAAAATTCGCAGTTTTCAATATGTTTTCATTTATTTTCTATTTAGGCAAAGAAGGCTAAGAAGTCGGTTGAGCAACATCTAGGAAAGCAGAATGAGCATCAAAAGGTTTGTATTTATTTTCAACGAATTTAAAAACCTTTTTAGGTCTACAGCCAGATGCAGCTCCAGGCGCAGAAGCAGCAACAAAAGAAGGACCGATGGCAAGTGGATGTGAATACGGACAAGTTGAATGCCCGTGGCGCAAGGTATAGATTATTGAGCGTGTCGTACATGTATGTTTAGGTTTGCCTCAAAATCCCAAGAAAACACGACGAAGCCCTCCTTCACGCTCTCCTTCAACCCGACGGTAAGGACACGACAGCCGGTAATCCACGGGACGTGCCAGACGATCCCAAAAGCCTTCTTTAGGCTCACCGCGGTAAGACTATTTTTTTTAATACGAGTTTTTTTCTGTTTAGGCTCCCGATCCGTCACTGGTTCGCCCTCTGCCCGTGTTGAGGAAGGCGCTGGAGTTTGTGAAAGAAAAATACCGGTCTGGGACCGAGTACTCCTTTGTCTCCAGCCAACTTCGCAGCATTCGCCAGGATTTAACGGTAAGTTGCGGGAAATTGTACCTAGGTGCTTTCACAAAATTTGGGGAGGGCTTAAAGTTTGAGTTTTTGTCGAGAAAATTTTTAGTTTGAGGGGTTGTACGTTTAAAAAGAGTTTGAAAAGGTTTTAGAGGCAATTCTTCTATTTTTGCATTGGCAAAATCGACAATACAGAAAAAGTTTACTGACAACTTCTATTTGACCCCTCCTAGGTGCAACGCATCCGTAACGCCTTCACGGTTTTGGTCTACGAGACGCATGCGCGCATTTGTTTGGAAAATAAGGACCGCGAGGAGTTCAACCAGTGCCAAAACCAGCTAAAGAGCCTTTACGCTGATGTGGAGGAGGGGTGCCCGCACAGAAATGAGTTCACAGCCTACCGCCTGCTCTACTTCATCTACATGAACAACGGGACCGACGTGATGAATTTGTTGCGAGGTGGGATTTTTGGTATTGCTTGATGAACTCGTTTTTTTAGACGTCACCGACGAGATGCGCGAGGACGAGTGTATGGAGTATGCGCTGAAGGTACGGGAGGCGGTTGGCAGGAAGAACTACCCGAAGCTTCTCAAGCTGGCCGAGCACGCGCCACGCATGTGCGGCTACCTGATGGACATGTTCATCGACCGGGAACGCAAGGCTTTCCTCGATGTCCTCGGCGCATCGTGAGTTTTTAGCGTTGATTTTTTTAGGGCTTTACCCAAAATTGGGGCCGCGTTTTTTTTTCGTGTAATTTCAAGGGTTCTTTAAACTTTTAAAGTTCTTTTCAAACGTCCTTTTTTCAGTCACTGCGCTATGCCCATCAGCGCCACCGTCCTCTGCCGGTGGTTCAGCATGGGCAAGCAGGAGCTGGTCGAGTGGCTCGCCCCGCACGGCTTCACCCCCGACGCCAAGGGCAATGTCAGCTTCAAGCCGGCAAAAAACTAGGGACCCGGTCGCGGCGACAGCGCCGGGCCATCCCCATCCCCAGATACCCCAACTTATCCCCATCCCCTGTTGCTTGTACCCTATTTTTAATTGTCCCTGTAGCCTTTGCCCTAGTTTCCTTCCAATGTTATGTATATCTCTGGTTTTGCTTTTTACGGGTAATTATTTTTATGTACTTTAGAATAAATATATACTTAAAGTTTTTTTCGGTGGAAAGCGCATTGCAGTACGAGACACGCTATGATTACATTTGAAAAGTATGAATAGTCGGTTCACAAAGTAATTTGGTTTGTCAGGCTTTTTAAAGGTTAGAAAAGAGCTTCGCCTTTTAAATTAGAGGAAAAGCTTGTAGACGAAGACGAGCAGCACGGGGGTGAACACCTGTAGATTGCCGGCGCCGTTGCAGTAGTCGACGTTGTTGCAGAAGCAGTACTTGTACCTGAACAAGGGCTGAATGTCGTTACGCTGCTACTGACCGCTTCGGCGGGTTCGAGCCGTCCTGGTAGCTGTAGCACTGGCCGGCGACGATCGGCTGATTCGTCCCCGGGGTGATCTGCAGCGTACTTTGGCTCCTAAAGGGTGTTCGCTAGTTTGCCTTTCTTACGAATTTACAAAATTGAAATTGGCACTTTAAACCCATTTTTCGTCCCCCCACCAGCAGTCCAACTTGAACGTCTCGTAGCTGGCGCCCGGGCGCATCGGATCCGTGATCCGCACACACATATTCTGATCCGAATTGCACTGGGCGTTCTGGTTGTCGCACGGGCTGGCCTGGAAAGCATTTTAAAAATGCATTATTTCGGGAAAACCCGGAAAAGGTTCAAAAATCTGGCCCAAATCGAGTCACCTGATTTCCGGGGTAATTCCACGACCACCCGGTGCACTGCATACATTTGATGGCCAGCGCTGAAATGGGTTGTAGGGGTTTAGATTTTCAGGTTTGTTTTCTCCTTAATTTTTGAAGCTTTTAGGTATTTTTGTTCAAAACTCGGAGGTTACTACCGGTCCGGTAGAGGTCAATTCTACTCCTCGAGATACACGACCTTTTCTGGATTTTGAAGCTTTCCAGGTATGTTTTTAGGTTCCAAAAACACTAGTAAACAAGCGTAACGACAACAAGCGATAAATTTCTACCCGACGAGGTGAATGAGTGGTTACTTATTTTTTTAAGCTTTTCAGGAATGTTTTTAGGCCTGAAATACTACGGGCCGTACTAACTACGAAAAGCGCCAATTTTTTCACCTACCCGCTGAGATGAACGAGCTGAAGAAGGCGATTCGATGCTGCATCTTTTAGTTGAACTTAAAAAAAATAGTTTTTGTCAGTTTTCAAGCCAAAGTTTAGAAATGGAAGAGCAAAAACGCAATTTCATCACAACCAACGGGGAAAACTCGCGAAAATGGACTAAAATAACCGGTGCTAGCTAGCGTTTTGGGTAACCCGGCCCGGCCGACTTTCTCGATTGCACCTGTCGAGACACCGTATCCGCCAGAAAACAGGTGAAAGTCGAGGGGGGTTGGCGCCGAAGTCAGATGCCAAACTTTCATAAGCCCGTCTAGGTGGGGGGAAAATGAGGGGCAGCTCGGCGTCGACGACAACCTGGCCCGGGGCTTCGCGGAACCAAAAACGATAGGGGAAGCCCTAGATTTCTGTAGAGTAACGATGGGATTAGCGGATCTCTAGTGATGGGGGGATTATTTTTGGTTTTTAGGGTCTGGAAGAGAACGAGGGTTTCGGAAAGTATTGAATGGAAAATCTCAGGTCAAAATGAGAAAGTGTGAATATCTTTTCTTTGTAAGGTATTTCAAATGCGGGGATTTTCCCCTATAAGTTCAGATCCGCGTATTGATATAATAGTAAGCATTTTAATCGTAATTTTTGGTAAAACTTAGGTATATTCAAAGCGGAAGAACTATTAAGAGACTTTGAAAGCATGTTAAAATTTCCAACTTTGGTCTAAAAGCCGATATTTTTAGTGTTTTTGATTAAAATTTGTAAAGTTTCTGCGTTTACGAAATATTAAAACACTGAAGAGGCTATCGTACTAACTTTCGTTTATTTTGATTAGAAACATGAAGCCTAAAGAAACATGGTCGAGAGATAGAGAAAGAGAGAGAATGAGAGCGAGAGAGGGAGAGAGAGCAAGAGAGAGAACGTTAGATAGAAACATGAATTTTTCAAGTCTACGCCCTAAAAACAACACAAAATTACACTTTGATGGATGGATTTCGTGGCGTCGCCTCACCCAAAGTTTCGCAAACAAGTTTAGACAATGCGTCCGTTGCTAGGAAAGACGCGGAATGCATTTTTGAAGATTACAAATATGAGCCGTCAGGCCCAGTGGGCCCTTGTAATTGGCAATCAACAGGCCGGCTGGGCCGTCGGGGGAAGAAGCCCCAGATGCACCTGCGCCATCACACCACCACCAACATTTTCTTCTGAAGTCCCCGGGGGCCAGATTGCGGAAATATAGATGAGATTTTGGGTATAAAAAGGGAGGTGATTACTAATAAAGTTTCGCGTCATTTGTAGGGTAAATTCTAGTGGCCGGCTGTGCATTAATGGCCCAATTTGTATGGTTTTTTAGCGTGCTAAACCCGAGTTAAAAGGTAAAGCCTGTATACCGAATTATTTTTACTTACTTTAGCACCTATTTTTTTAAGCAGACAGAATTTATCAAATTATGAAAAGAGGACAACCTCTTCTGATTTTTCAGGATTTAAAAAACTCGAGAGCGTTTTCCGTACGTTTTTTAGGCAATTCACGGCTCCAAATATATTTTTTAGATGAAAAAATCAAATAAAAAAAATTGTGAAAACGACCTTTGGGGCTTTTCCGCGCACCCAGCTAGCCGATTTCCCAGGCACCGCTGAAAAATAAGTCAGCGCGGATGCTAGAAATTGTATTTTATCCTCTGGCTTGTTATTTTCTAGTTTATTTTCCACTCTGTACTTGATGACGACGATTTTTAGGTACATTTTTGGGGTTTGGCCCATTTTTGACGATTTTGCTGTATTTCGAGTTGATTTTTAGCGAGTTTTTGGGGTGAGAAATTGTATTTTATCCTTGCTTCTATTTAGATTATCATTTCAATTTAATTTCCACTTTTCAGTTTCTATGAAGATGTGGGCTACATTTTTTTTGTTTTTTTCTTGTCACCTTTTAGACCAATCTAGGCTTGCCATTCGACCCGGAAGCGTGCATTCACCTCCTCGAGTTTATTGCCAACCACTACGCGGCCATCCAGACAACGGATGCACCAGTGTTTTCCCAAAAAAAACCATTCCAGCATAGTACCGGGGGTGATAAACCCCGGGCAAGGACACCGTTGCCCGGCTAGACTGCCAGGATCCTGTGAGGAGGAGCAAGATACTACAAGCCATGAGAGCTTTTTATCTCTTTTCCTGGCGGTGTATCTTCCTCTCGGGTCTCCCCGATTACCAGTATCAACTCGGAATGGAGGGCGAACTTGCGTGGGCAGGAATACGCATGCAACTTGCCGAATTGGGGGCGGCACCCTGGAATGGAATGATACCGGAAAGCTGGGGTTGGATCTTTGCAACCGGAAAGCATCTCCGTAGCCGGTTTTTAAATTCTGGAAATTAAAACTAGGCATTTTGCTAAGTTATTTTTTTAAAGAATTTGGGATTTTCTCATTTAGACAATCTACTAGGGTTCTTTAGCGATTCAACCGGGGGGGGACCGATTTTTAATTCCTGGTGGTCCTAGTTGACCTAGTAATCAAATATAAAGTGTTTTCGAGTTGTTTTTAGTAAGTTTTAACTATATTTAAAGCAAAAGAACGTTCAGAAAAATTTAGAAAAATGTTTGAAAAAGTCGAAAATTTGGTCATTTTGGGTCTTCCCCCCCCCCCGCGAATCCTAAGGTTTTATAGGATTGTTCAACCTAATTTTTATTTATTTTTATTTTTTGGTTAAAATATGTGTAGTTTTTATGCTCAGGAATAGTTAAAAAACAATTTAGAAACGCATCCGCAATTTATAAAAACCCCCCGACCGAGGTCTTTCCGAGTGCCGAAAAAATTTGCTTTACGCTACGCAACATAACGACGTGGGAAGGCAAATTTTTCACGACTTTCCAGGAAGGTCAAATTCTGAGTTCAGTTTTTTAGCGGATTTCTTTCTTAAATAACCGCCGCAAGGTTGCGTCATTGCCTTTTAGTCATTGCTTAAAAAAAATTGGTCGCCAAGCAATACATCCCATCTTCAAACTTTTGATGAGCTTCCCAGCTTCCTTCCGCTTTTCATCTTTCCTGTACCAGCGCCAATTTCAGGCTCCAATTTCGAAATGTTGAGCACGATAGTCCCGCTTTGCCTATTGCTAGCTCTAGTGGCAAGCCAGGGATTCCAGGTATCAATTTTCACATTTTCCCCCAATTTATCTGAGTTTTAGGATCACGAGGAGCTGCGCCAGTTCTTCGGATTCGAAATTGCTGTATTTTAAAGTCTAGTCAAAATCTCAATATTTTTAGGACAACCAAATGGTCCAACTTGCGCCGCCAACCCCGAGAACTCGACCGCTGTCTACCGAACAAAATCGTGGCCATGCCATGCCGCCCGGTGGGTGTTAGGCTTGGGCTTAGGCTTGGGCTTAGGCTTAGGCTTAGGCTTAGGCTCAAGACTTAAGATTGATAGCCTAGTTTAGGAAAAATATCGATACAACGAAGGATTTTTAGGAATTCGACCACCCACAAAGCTAGCCCGACTATTGAATGACGACGAGTTGAGGACGAAGATTGGGGTATAGTTTTTGTGAATAACAATTTAATTAATCTTTTTAATGTCAGTTATCGGCACCAGTCTGACCTGTTTCTGTCGCTACCCCTTTAAAACCGCCCCCCTTACCTACACCCCCCAGCTTTTCCAGTTCAACAATCGACACGGCAAACGCGTACTTGGGATCTCCAGGCGAAAACCGGAAGTGGAGCTGCGCGATCGGCTTTAATTAATAAAATGGATTCAGTAGCGCACAGTTTATTGAAGACAACTACGCAGTACACCAAACTACAATTCTTCCTTAATTTCCCCCGCTTGCTCGCCAAGTATCCGCGCGTTTTCCCGGGCCTGGTTGACGTGCCAGGGCTGAAAACAAGTTCAAAAAAACCAGGGCTACTCACCTGGACGTCATCAAACTCCTCGAGCGGATCAGGCTCTTCTACTTCTTGAAAAACGGCATCTCTGCGGCCGGCCAACTCGATTTGGCCGAGTTCTGGAGCCTTAAACGGGTACGGTAGCCGAGTCAGGGTCTAGAAAAGGCTTACCAAATCGCGCCAAAATGCCACGGAAGATCGGTAGAAGTCAAAGTCCCATTCGGGGGTGCCGTCAGCCTGGAAGCGAAAAAAAGGCTTAAATTCTGAAGAAAATAATAAACATAAGCGAAGCCTAAGCATAAGCCTAAGCCTAAGCCTAGCCTTCAGCCAGCCGGAAAGCCTGTAAATTTTCTCACATGTATCCTGATGAAATAATCCCTTTTCGACGTGCCGAGGGCCGGAAAGCTGGGATTCGTGGCCGAGCAGCCTTCTTCAGTAGGTTTCCTAGACGTTGAATATTTTTTCGTAAGCCTAAGCCTCTGCCTAAGCCTGAGCCCATACCTAAGCCTAGCCGGCTGCCCCCAGCTAAGCCTAAGACTAAGCCAAGCTTCACCAACCCCTTCGATGCAAATCTCGTGTAATATCCTAGCAATCGAGTACAAAAAGGTTCGATGTCCTCCCAGCCGCCGTCCTGAAGGCAGTCTAAAGCCCGCAATTTGCAACGTTGCGTAGTTACAGTGGCTTAAAATAATGATAAAGCATTTAGACCCACTTTTCGGTGGATTATCAATCCCATACTGGAACAGCCAGACTTGGTTGGCTTTGGATTTGGTGAAATGGGCGATAAGCCTGTCGGTTGGGACGGCAAAATCCCGGTCCCAGAGCATCTGAAAATTGTGTTTTGAAGGTACCGGGAAGACAGGATCTATAGAAACGCGTGGATCTACTAATGCGCCAAAAATTAGCTTTGACGAACTCACTTCTCTCATGGCTTCAAAGAGGAAATAGGTGTCCTTCTTGTCGCCTTTGGTGTGGACGTAGTGATGGAGGGCCACGCGGCGTACGAGGGGTCCGTTTTGGTACGCTAAACTTGGAATGATTGTTTGGCTTAGGTTTAGGCATAAGCATCGACTTAGGCTTATGCTCAGGCTTAGCTTAAGCAGCGGAATCTGCAAAACACTGACTGGCATCCGGGATGAGACCGGCCAGGAACTGCTTGAAGTTGCGGTAGTCGAAGTCGGCTGTGAAGTTGGTGGTCGTGGGATAGACTAAAAAGCAGGTAGTGCGAGAGAGAGAAAGAGAGAGAGCGAGAGAGAGAGAAGTCTTTCCCTACCGTATCTCTCCGGGGCCTCCTTTTTCCACAACCCGTACATTGTCGGAATCTGCCGGTTCTTGGTTTTTCGCAACTTTGGAACTCGATATGGGTCCCCAAAAGGGTAGAATAACTCCTGAATTTTACATTTAATTTATCGGAAAATTGCCTAGCCTTTATTTCTTGCGCTTTTTGTGCAAGGTCAGCAACCGGAAGCGCTCGGAGACAGTGTAATGCCTAAAAAGACAACTGAAAGGTATATCTGGGCCTGGCATAAGCATAAGCTTAAGCTAAGCATAAGTCTAAGCCTAAGCCTATGCTAAGCCTAAGCCAGGCCTGAACAAAGCCTCAGCCTAGCGAAGCTTTTTCATACCTGCTCTTCCGAAGGCAGATCACAGCTTGACAGTCGCTTCAATTTCGAAGCCACTCGACTTGCGAACCTTAATTTTTGTGTTTTGGGTTCCTGTTGTACGCTTAAGGCCTTAAAATTACCTCTCACGGCCATAAGTCCTGGTCAACGCATTCCCACCAAATAGAATTGCACGCTGGACGTCTAAAATCAAGAAATAATAGGCAAAAAATGTTGGTACTTACCGAGCTTCTCCAGCACGCGACTGACCGCCTCGGCCAGGTGCTCCTCGGCGAGTACGGTAATCGGGCCAATGCCTAGGGAATCCCTTTCGTTGGTCAGGAATTTGAAGAGATTTTCGAGATCGGAATCGGAGTAGACTTCTTCGTTGTAGCTTGCTGAAGATTGCAAAAAATCTGGATTTGAGTACTTCCCAAGCCCAAGCCTAAGCTTAATTTAAGCCTACGACTAGGCCTAAGGCAAGCCTAGACCTAACCAACCTACCGTATACCCCTTGCCGTGCGTGCGCCACGATAACTGACAATTCCTTGTTAACAAGTTTCACCAACTTTGCCTCGCTTAACGCCTCATTTGTGACATAGACAAGGGCTGGGGTCTGAGTAAAAATATTAATTTTTTTTTGACCGGCTGTACCTCCTTTTCCGCTTCAGCATGCTTTAAAATGGACAGAAATAGGCAATCTTCGGAATTACCTTCCTCCGGTCGATCAACAATACAACGATTCGGCCAATCGTTAGCTTTTGGCCTTATAAACTTCGATATGAGGCGGGAATCCTGAAACTCGGAAGCTAAACCTATCCCAAGCCCCAGCCTAAGCCTAAGCCTAAGCGAAGTCTAAGCCTAAGCCAAGCCTAAGTAAGAAACCTAAGCCCAAGCCTAAACCTAATCCTAAACCCAAGCCTCAGCCGTTTGGCCTAAAAATCGGCCTACCGTATATCGTCGCTCCAACGGCTCAGCATACCTTACACCCAAGATTCGCTCGATAGAATCCGAGGCTTCAAAAACGCAGAAAAATCCAAATATTAATATTAGCGTTCTTAGCAGCATTCCGTATCCTTTAAAAAGCGGCACCCGGCCCGGAACTCCTTCGGCTTATCATTTCAGCAGGTCGGGGCACCCCGGGCCAATTATCGATTATTTTTGCCACGGGGCTTCTGCTAAAAATAGCGCTTAATAAAATTTAACACCTAAATACCGTATCAATTTACTTTAGAGAAACACGGTACTTGCTTGTTAGCGGGGGGTGGTGGTGGTGGTTTTAGTGCGCTAACGCAGCTAGAAAAATTTTTGGTCTTATGTGTTGTTTTTCATAATATTACGTAATTTTGGGTTACTAAAAGGCCAAAAAGACGTTTTAAGAAATTGTAAAAAATGTTGGTTTTTAAAGATTTTTACAAATTTTGACCAAAAAGCAACATTTTCGGAAAATTTTATGTTTATATGATCTTTCTATAATTAAAAAACGGGTAAAGCTATAAATCCCGCTAAGCCCTCCCCCGATAACAGACCAGTACCGAGAAAAAACTACGGTGTTTTTCTGTTGCTTGAAATTATACTACAGTGTCTTTTGCGAACCACAAAGTGCAAAAATCGATTTATGTACACGCATCAAAAGTTTTGACAATATGCAGATCGTCATTAAAAAAAAATAATGTCGTCATGGGATACACGTGGCTACTTTGTACATGTATAAATTAGGCGATTTATTCGACGTGTCGCTGCTGCTCGTCTTCGTCCTTGCCGAAGACGCTCGTCTTGAAGGGGACGTCCTTATCCTCAGCTCCGCCGTGGTGCGCGCCCTCGCTAAAATCGAGAAATTGATAAAACAAAATAGAACGCAAAACAAAAATAGCCTATGCTGATTTTCATAAAATATAGCGATATTTCAAGAGGAAAAAACTATTTTTCAAACTAAAAAGTGGCTTAAAATTTTCAAATTTTAGTAAAAATCGATACGATACAATTTGTTCTCGATTCCGAGCTACAACTTGTTGAATTTGTTGAAGTGAAATTTCCTTACGTGAGCGCCTTGCCGATGCCCTGGACGGCGTGCTTGATGCCGGAGAAGACGCCTTCCTGATCGTCGTTGCCGTGGAAGCCAAAGTAGCCCTTGCCGGTGAGGTTGTATTCTGAAAGCCGATGGTTAACAAAACGGTTGTTAAATGCCTTTTTAATTCAGCATTTAGCTTTATTTAAGCAATTTTAACTCAATTTAACTTTGTTATACTTTTAAAGGCACCCACCACAGCCTCCCGGGCCGGGCGGCGTCGTGAAAGACTGGCGACGCTCCTCACGCGCCTCATTCAGAGGCTCGTTGTTGCGGTCGAGCATCTCTAAAAAATCGAAAATAGCAGAAATCGATAATGAAGATAGCTTTAATCTTATTTAGGATTTTTTATTCGATTACAATAACTCTTCCACCCACCCTCGTTGATCTGATCGGCCATCGTGGCTCCGGTGCGTACTCCTTCCATTTTTGCGGGGCTTTTGGGGTTGTTTTTGTAAGCTGAAATTTCGTGCGTTTTAAATTAATTGCGAAATTTAAGCACATTTGATAAAGACAACCGCCAAAAATATTTTTTTTTTTGTTATTTTCCGGCTTTGCAGAGCTTGACTGGGTTTTTGTAAGTTGAAAATAGTAAAAAATGAAGCGGATTGAATCGAAAATGATTTTAAAAGGCTGTATTTCCCAAAATTATAGAAAAATTCTGAGAAAACAGCTAAAAATTCGTTTGTATTGAAAAAGTAGAAAGTAAAATCGGCAATCGCAAAAAAGCTACTCCAAAGTTCGAAAATATAAAATGGAAGTATTTTTCTGCTAAAATTAATGGGAAATGTCAATAAATTATTTTGAAAATCTTTTTCAAAAATGAGAATAACTTTTTCAATGAATCCTTGTCAGCTTTAAGCCAAAGCTCAGACGTAAGCCAAGCTTTTCAAGCCGTCAAAAGTTTGCTATTACGAAATCGAAGCCTTGTCAAAAGCTGCCCACGGGCTTGCCGGTCAATATTTAGCAGGGTGGCACCCCGGCCTATTTATACTCGGCCGCCCGACCAAGGGTATAAACAGAAAGTGCAGGCACATGGCCCCTACTGCCCCTCTTTCTCCTGCGCAAAACGGGACACCCCCAAGCCGGTGGTCAACAGCCCTCACAGCTGTTTTTCTCGGGTGTCTTCCCAGTCCCTTGAGGAAAATACCTCAAAAGTTGGGAAATCGGGTGTCCGAACCGCGGAACGTTGTCTTAAAAGTGCATGATTATCGTTGTGTAATAGAGCAAAGTGGCTTTCACTTTTTTGGGTATCCTAGAGCGAGTACAGTTGCTTTTTTGCACTTTCCAGGACACGACAATATGTTTCTCTCCCTCTCTCGATTTTTAAAAATCATCTGAAGGCGGATTCCGGTGTAGTTTTGTATGTAGAATCCGAAAATCATGGTGAAAAACGCTCGCCCTAGCGAAATCGAAGCCAAATTAGCTCTTCAACATCTTGATAGGCGGCCCGAGATCCAGCTAGCTCCGACCGATGCATGAAAAGATTTTGTTCCTTACTATGCACATGGTTGAAATCATTTTTTTTTTCAGGGTTGACTCCTCATAACTCGTTGTGTCTCACATTCCATGAATACATAACGCAAACAGGCACATCACTTCAAAACTCAAAAACACTTTATCCAAAAATGCTGCAGCGAAACGGGTCTGCTTTTTATTATTGGGCTCGATGATGAAGCAGGGGAACGGGTGGGCGTCGCTCAGCAGGGTCCCATGTAGCACGAAACATCAGTGCGGGGCTTCGTCACGCCGGGGGTCGACGAGCCGCCGCCACCTCCGCCACCGCCTCCGCCGCTGCTGCCTCCGTAGCTGCCACCGCCGAAAGCGTAGTCTTCGCTGAAACACGGAGTTTTGTTTGACAAGATAAGGCTTTGAAACATGGAGTATGCAAAGCGTTACCGGGCATAGCTTCCGCCACCTCCGCCGCCACCACCACCACCGCCGCTGTAGCCGCCGGGCGTCATGTAGGCCGATTTGTCTCCCATGTCGTGAGTTGTGGAGAAGTCTTGGGTAATTGGTCCGGTGAAACCGCTTTATTTTATACTCGGAAAGTTAGGGAAATCCCGGGGCGCTTCCTTGATAACCGATTCTGTGGGTTTTATATTCATATTTATGCTAATCTTTAAACTTTTAAACCTTTTTTTTTAAAACTTACAGACCCTTTTAAATATGAAAGTTTAGCCAGAATTTTGGTATTTTTTTTCATTTATTTTAGTTCATTTATTTCATTCGGGCCGCTACGATGGACGCCATTGTGAGATTTTTCGTACAGTGGAGTGTGGTGTAGCATCAAAAATTAATTTCGTTTTCGTCTCCGTTTGATAAACTTTTTGAAAGTCCGCCTTTTGAAGCAATTTAAAATTTTACTGTACTTGTACTGGCAAATTTAATATTTACTAAAAATTTACGTAAGTTGAATTGCTCAATATATCCGGCCCCTTTATTAAATTTTAAACTTCAACTCGGATTTTATGTATAAACCCTTCAATTAAACTTTTATCCGGGCCCCGACAACCGACACCACAGTTAGTTTTCCCGGATGTAGGGTGTCTGTCGTAGCACCAGAAACGAATGTCGATTTTTGTTTTGCACAAACTTTGAAAAATTTTATTTATGGGCCTTTTCGCTAAAAATTTACGAAAGATTCAATTGCTCAATACATCTAGCTCGTCGAACCTGTTTGCTCAGTTGTTTTCCTGTCTTTCCAGCGACTATGGCTCTTTTTCCAACTTGCCAGCTCTGGTTCCCATAGCAGCTCGTCCTATAACACGTCCCCAGGTGCCCAGTTCTCCCCCTTCGCCCCAATCCCTCGCCCCCCTTTCCACGGCCTTGCCACGTTTGAACGGATTTGAACCAACTTTTGCTTATTGCCACCCGACTTACTAAAACTCGCGATTCCGACGGCTAGCCATCCCCGTTAGCACCCCCACTTTCGCGCCGAATGGATAAAAAGCGGCTGTTGAGACCGTCTGAGGACGATGCGAAAAAAGCGGTATAGATTTGTGCGTTCCTCCCCGCGTGTTGCATCCCTGTGTGCCAAAATACTAGGCTTTTACGTAAAACACCATCTCTTCAATGTCCATTATTCCTTTTTTTTGTCGTTTTGCTTTCAATTTCACCAGTTACCCCTTTGTTTTGAGGTTTTTGACGTCGTCGACCTTCAAAATGGCTGGAGATGGTCCCAAGTACAGCGTAGAGGAACGAGGCTCAATTTATTCGCTCGACTACCGGCTCTTCTTCAAGGGCCGGAACGGCTACATCTCGCCCTGGCACGACATCCCGCTGTTTGCCGATGAAGCGGCGAAAACCTACAACATGATTGTGGAAATTCCGAGGTGGACGAACGCCAAGATGGAGATTGCCACCAAGGACCCGCTCAACCCGATCAAGCAGGACGAGAAGAAGGGCTTGCCTCGTTTCGTGCACAACATCTTCCCGCACCGTGGCTACATCTGGAACTACGGAGCCCTTCCACAGACCTGGGAAGATCCTAACCACACCGTGCCCGAGACCGGAGCCAAGGGAGACAATGACCCGATTGATGTCGTCGAAATCGGAAGCGTTGTCCGAAAACGAGGCGAGGTCGTCCCTGTGAAAGTCCTGGCAACATTGGCTCTACTGGACGAGGGAGAGACCGACTGGAAGCTTGTTGCCATCGCCCTCGACGATCCGCTAGCCGACAAGTTGAGCAACACGGCCGATGTTGAGAAGCATTTTCCCGGCTTGTTGCAAGCTACCTTCGACTGGTTCAAGCATTACAAAATCCCGGCCGGGAAACCGGCCAACGAGTTTGCCTTCAACGGCGATTACAAGGAGGCCGACTTTGCGCACAAGGTGATTGCCCAGACGCACGAGTTCTGGAAGAAGCTGATGGCAGAGCCTACACCGAAGCTCAACACGCAGTCCGTGTTGCCGGATGCGGTCCACCAAACTACTTACGAGGCGCGTATCGAAGAAGTGCAGAAGCAGCCGGCTCTTGGCCAACCCGCCAACCTACCCG